TCCTCCCCACCCCGTCCCCAACTTTGTTGAGGATATTTTTGCATTTATTTTCAGATAGAGTGGGAAGGAGAGAGGGAGGAAAAGAGAGAAACATCAATGTGAGAGAGACACCATCGACTGGTTGCCACATGTACAACCCCAACCGGGGCCGGGGACGAACTGCAACCTTAGCAGGAACTGAACTCGGGTCTCTCTGGTCCATGGGCTGACACTCTAACCGCTGAGCCAAACTGGCCAGGGCTCTTATTGCATTCTTTTGGCAGATTCCCAGTCTCTGCAGCAGCAGTTCATGGTGTTATTTATTTAGCTTATCATATTACAGTAAATAAGGAAAATTACAGAAATGCATGTGTCTTTCATTTCTACCAGCTTATTTATTTATTTTTTTATCCTCACCCGAGGACATTTTTCATCGACGTGAAAAGGACACATCGAGTGGCTGCCACCCACACGACCCAATCAGGGCCGGGGACAAACTGCAACCGAGGTACGTGCCCTTAGTGGGAACCGAACCTGGGTCTTTCCAGTGCGCAGGCCGACGCTCTAACTGCTGAGCCAAACCGGCCAGGGCTACCAGCTTAATATTGGTATGCTGGATGTGTTTTCAATGCCATGAAGTGCAGAAAATGAGCTTTATGGTAGATTATGCTTTTGGTGCTCTGTACATCAAGGATAAGAAGTCTGCAGAAAGATCACCTGGGATTCCATGAATTTCTTATGTCTGAATATGATCTGGACTCTTCTATATATTTTTGGTAGCATGAAGTTTACTTGGGTAAAGCAATTAATCGCTCCTAGTTTATGTTTCCTTAATATGGTTGCTCTTAGTGTGAGCTGTGAGCACATTTGGGCTGGGTGACTTCTGTGTGTGTGTGTGTGTGTGTTGGGACACATGCAACTGTGGGTGTCTGAAGCCACCATGGTTCTTTGCTTGGGCACAGCCTAGGGCAAGGCCCGGGAAGGAGGATGTGAAGCAGGTCATTGAGACACGTAAGGGGCTGCATCCCAGACTCCAGCAAATCACCCAACACCAAGGGCAGCAGGCTTCCTCCCGAGGCTTCGTGGAGTGTCAAACAAGGGGCATGTTTTCCATGCTGGGAGCCTGCACCACTGAAATCAATTTAGACGTCTATTTCTAGGAGCTGCCACTACTTGGATTTTTTTCTTCTTTTTTTTGAAACCTGAGCCTATTTTAAATCTGCACCCAAATGCAAGCAGCTGAACTTGAACAGCTCTCATGGCCACCGCTAGCACCAGCCGTGCTGGAGACCAGACTGCCGGGGTGGACCCTGGGGACATGGGAGCTTCCCTCGGTCCCAGCCCTTGGTGGGAGGGAGAGGAAACTCCCTCCCGCTTCCTCTAACCCTCATGTGGTTTGTCCCCAAGCTGTTTGATCTGCAATCTGAGGAGACAACTGCCTTTTCATGTTTTATACATTTTATTCATACATTTCTCCAACTTTGAAATGACAAAAGCCCAATTCTATGGTTTCCCATTACACAGCATCCTACAAGTATGTATATTCTACAAAGAATACTATGGAGATTCTCTTCCTCCCCTGTCACATAAGAGATAACTGATTAGGGTTCCGTCGACTTGTACTGTGCTGGGAGTGCACCAGCGTTCTGGGAGTTCTGGCGACAGGGCAAAGGGATCAGGGCGGGAGGGCGTGTGCTAAGGCATGTAAATAGATACACACAGAGAGAAAGAAAAGCGGGACATTTACAGAGAATCCGAACCTTTCCGATCCCTTCACCTCCTGGGTGTTGAAGGACACCTCCTGCACAAACGCTCTTGCACACTAAGGCTTTGCTGTACCCTGCAAATACTTACAATTGGATACGGTGAAATATACAACAACCATTAACATTGCTCTCTTTTGATCACTGAGACAATACTTCAAAACCTTTTATAAAAAGGCAATTATACATACAGAAAAAAGAACACGTTGGCAAAACTTTATGCAAAACAACCCCAGTACCGAGTTTGAATGGCGACGCACCTGCATTTCAATTAAACATGACACTCTGGTCTGAGCACTTGAGGCTCCTGTGGCCTTTGCCTCAGTCACGCTGCTGCCCCGGCAGCCCCACACCCGCCTGCATGGGTGCTGTTCCAGGACACAGCTGAGACTGGAAATCAATTCCCCTAATTCTTGGTCTCTTCAAAATGAAAAAAAAAAAAAAAAATAGGTGGGGCAACTCACTGTGGAGGAATGCCTATTTCTACTCCCAAACAGAACTCCTTCTAAAAAATTGCACATCCTCTGGGTCCGAGATGGCCACACGCCCAGACCTCTCTTGGTGAGAACACTGACACGTTCCCTAAGTCGCGTGCCAGAGGCCGGAACTAATGCACAAGTGGCAGCAAAGTTTTGAGTTTCTGAGCACACACAGGTTGTGCTTGGGGCCAGAAGCGAGGTCTCTTATGTGGTGACAAAGATGTCTTCCCGTTTTCTTTTGCTCAGTCCATTCGCACAGGTTCAAGAGGGTTGATGGAGGGTCAGGTGAGAGGTGGTGGGGGCTCTGGCTTTTCAATCCACCCCCCAAGAGCAAAGACTTGGCAGTGCCTCTCTTAGAGGTGGCATGGCCCTCCTCTCTCTGTGGGCTAGGTCTGCCCACATTCCACAGCCCACGAGTGGCAGAGAAAAGACCAGATAAAAGGGATATGGACTGCTCAACATCTTCTTCTTCTCCCTCTCTTCTACCTCCTGGACACATGTCACAGCTAAACTCCACTCACTGAGCTGGAAGACCCGAGACTTCCAATTGCTCCAAGTTTAAGGCGAACTAGTGAGTGAGCATGGGCAAAGCCAATCAAGCTTTAAGCCTTCTGGGCACAGTCCTGTAACCTAAGACATCAAATGGAGAGGAAAACCTTCCTTCCAAAGGGGTAAAAAGAGGAAAAGTTCTACCAAATAAAATGATTCATGATGAAAGCTTGTAGCCCTTATGTAAGCTGCAGCGAGAAGCAAAGTATCTTTGTAAGAGGAGAATTAATTAAGAGGCGCCGAACAAGAGAAAAGCGCTCAGGGACCTTTAACCTATGACATGCTGTAATCAGCCTCAGTATTTATAAGCCCTTGTAAAGAGGATGGAATTAGAAGGCTGTGTTCAGTTCGGGAAAAACAAACCCTTCCCCTGATCCCCAACACACACACACACACACACACACACACACACACACACACACACCCCTAGTTTGATGACAGGAAATAAGGAGGAGGAATGAGAACCTTGTGGGGCTTGTTTTGGAATGCCGATTGCAAGGTGCCTTCTCCTCTTTCCAAGGAGACAGCACGGGAGGCATCGTAATTAAGAATTTATTAATCGAGACATTTTCTTGCTGGCTATAGCAACATGTCTCTCTGCCCCAAGTTAAGGAACGGACCTGAAATGAAGAAAAGGACATCACATTAGTGGAATACAAGAGTTTGCTTTGGGCCACCTATCTATAAGGGGCAGTGTCGACTCTGAGCATCTCCCCTGTTCAGTTTCCTCAAGGGGGCGCTCAACTGCCTACGCTTTTCCCAGGGATGAACCCAAAGCCTTAATGTACTGATTTAAAGACAAAACAAAACAAAAAACCCTCCTCTGCAGTAATGAGATCAAAGGCTTTAAAAAGACGTTTGTAGCACCGAGTCCCAGCCTGACTGACTGGCCCCAGCAGTATGAGATGGACTTGGACCTGGGGAAGAGCCCTTGCTGCCTCCTTCACACAGTGAGGGCTTTGCGACATCTGTAGATATTCTGCCACCAATAGAATGGGCTCCGAAGAGGCCTTCTCAATGCAAATTGCAAGAAGTAGGTCATCTACTTCTTTTCCTCTCTGAACAAATATTTTAAACCATCTCTCCCGACAGGAGATACATGTAATTGCATTTAAAAAGGCTACCATAATATCTTGATACTGGGAAACTTGCAGATGAATTGAATTACATTTTCCTTTGAGTGTTAAAATTGAATATGCTGCATGTGCAAAGTAATTACTGCCTTATGATGAAAAAAATCAGGACATTTCTTCTTTTTACCAAATAATTCAACATATTAAAAAGACTCCCCCTTCTTAGCTGTGGGGAGTGGGGGCTGAGAAACTTCAGAATACAGCTGATTTGACCAGTGATAAGATCTAATAATCTAATCATTTTCTCCAGCATTTAAAAGAAAAAAGATGATTTTGCTGCCAGAATGGAATAAAGAAGCTTTTTCGCAATTTTCTCTGATTGCTTAGTGGACAATTGTAATGCAGGGGCAGCAGCAATATACTGAAATTACTCTGAATTCAGATATTCAAGTATTTTCTGCTACGTCATAAAGACACTGCTTTAGAGAAGATGTGTGTTAGTGGAATGGAACAGATGACCTCGTTGAGAAGTCAGATAGAATGAGTTCTGGGTGCAGGAATTCTACCATTTACACAATGGCAAGAACAATGGCTGCCCGTATGCTTCCCCAACGACCCATAAAACCATCTGCATAAAGCCATCGAGGAGAGAGGACTAGAGCTACAATGCTTCTCAATTCTGAGACCACAGGCATTCAAATTGGCATTGCTCTTCTCTGTCTCTGCTTGATCCACATTTATCAATGTGGTGGATGGCTTAAGCCAGGCATCATCAGCATCTCTGGAAATTTGTTCTAAAAGTGCAAGTAGGGGCATGCGGGTTTCTGCCAGAGGGAGGGAGTTTCTCTTCCCCGTGTGTTAGCTGTATTATTCTTTGTGCTTCATTGGAAAAGAGGTAGCGTGGGCCCTTTCACACTGAGAAGAGCCCAGATTGTGGTCAGTACCATCACAGGAATGACTATCTGGCCTTGGCATCAGTTACATTTAAATCAATCCTAACACAGCCCTAAACAACATTTAGGGTTTCTCTCTCCATCCAGGATGTCTCTGGTATGGTGGTTTAGTCACCCTGCTATGGAGCCCCAACAGAAGCAGTTCACTCAACATCTTGTTGGTAAGTTGCAGACTCATCTGGTCACTGACAAAGGACAACATCAGAGAAAAAAAAAATCAGCATCATTTAATAAGAGTAGGTGGGGAGGGATGACACCATAAAAGGAGTATACAAATGTCTTCTCTGTGTGGTCCTTCAAGATGAGCTTTTCAGCTCAGAACACAACCTGCACATCCTGCCAAGGCACAAAGCGATGAGGCCATCTAACTGTCAAGAAGCAAACATGATGGTAATTTTTCAAGGATCACAGGTTAATAGAACCACTTCATACACCCTGCCACTGTAATGAAAAACCTTCCACTGACCTCTGGCAAGAGTCGGAAAACCCCCAGCCCGAATCTGCTATTATTGGAAGGATGTGACCTCATGTAAGGGTGATGAGATGGTTAATGTCTCTAAAGCAACAGGGAAAGATGATTGTCCTGTGCCAAGGGATATAGCAAGAGGAAAGAAAAACCACAGATGGCCTCTAGTACAAGGGTGGCCCTTGGGTGCACTGCATGTGCTCTGGGAGCCAGGCACGGTCTGAGCTGTGCTCTGGCGGAGTATTTTGTTGTCCTGCCAACTGATAGTCCCTCCTGGGCCTTCAATGGTTCAATGAGCATCTAATGAATTATAAAATCTAAAAGATTATCGGCTTGTATATCTGAACAAATCTATAATGAAATGACGGACCCAAAGGCATTTAATATTGAACACATAAAAGGAAGTATATTTAAAAAAGTTGGTCAAACTGTCCTGTTAGTTATCATTTTAAAGGAATTTACAGGGCTGTTATATTCTTTTGGAATAATTCAGTTTATGGCAAGTGCCTAAACTGGTTTCTTCATTGCACAGTATATTCTCTTAAAATGGGTGCTTTAAAACAATTACATACATATTAAAAATCCTCATTTCTTTGCTTAATTAAAACGTTAATACTCTCAGACAACACAGATCTGAAATGGTGAAACCAGCAATTCCCCCTCCCACCTTACAACAAATTAAATTGAGACAAAATTACAAACACATCTCACTATATGATTATTATTAATAAAAATCAGTTTTGTTTTTGTTTTTTATAAAGTTGCCCGAAATGCAAGGGATGTGCATAGGTTTTACAACTTAGTCATAATAGCATTTGATTCTTATTCCCCTGGGTGTGCCCCGTGAACGGAATGTACTTGGCTGTAGATTACAGATCGTTTTGTCCAACACAGACACACCAACAGCATAAACGCTCGCGACTGTCCACATGCATTAAGAGTCAAGACCCAACTTCAAATCTCTAAAAGGTTTACAGGGTGCTTCAAAGAGACAGTATCACATTATCTGGATGTTACATAAAGGACTTAAAAAAAATTCTATTCTAAAAAAAAGAAAGAGAAAAAAGGTCTTTAAAAATTTATGACTGTTTTGTAATCACTAGACTGATTATTTCAAATAAATAAAGGAAAGAAAGATATTCCAATCCATAAAATCAGACTCTAAAAAGAATGTAGTATTCCACCCCCAGTCAAGGTAACAGAATCATTGTTTATTATTATTAAAATAGATTATAGAAAGCAGCATCTATTTTGTGCAGTTTTTAGGGGCCTTGGAAATAAAAAGCTATGATTTCCAAAAATATAACATTCCAAAGGATTGAATAATACATACATTTAAAGATACATTTTATTAAAGTTTAGGAGAACTGATTAAAAAAGATACTGTCTCTTTAAATTAGTGTGTAATTGTTTTTCTCCTCCTACCTATTCGGACATGACAATAATTATAAATGTAGGTCACACTACAACTAGGTAGTCTCTAGGGACCACGACCTGCTGACACAAGGCCGATAACAAAGAGGCGTTTCCATGTATGAGGTGGCTCCCAGTTATGCGTCAGATATCTGGGGACAGGCCTAATAGACCCAGGACACTGGGACCCACTGAGGGGCTGTGCACACGAGCTCGACGGCTTCCTCCAGATGTCTGATTGTTTCATCAATTTCATTGTTGATAATTGTGAGATCGAAGTAGTGTGCATACGTTCTCTGTAAGATGTCAGATTCCTTCTGCAGACGCTGAAGAGATTCATCCTAAATGGTGATGGGAAAGAGGTAGGGGTGGGCATGAAAGAAGAGAAAAGCAGAGAAGAGAGAAGTCAGCTGTATTCTTTCTCTTTTCACATTTCTGCTCATCCCAGTGTCAGAAACAGTCAAGGCCAGACCTTGATATGCCGCATCTGGGCACAAGGCCGAGCCTGGTTTGTGACAGCAGAGATGCCGGTTCCCGGGATGGCAGGGTTGCAGAACTGCTGCTTGCAACCCAGACCGCTCCCCATGCAACAGAGGGCTCCACGCCAAACTGGACGCACCAGAGAAAACACACTCTGCAGCAAACACACCGCCCTACCCGGCCTAGCTGTGCCCGCGCCTCTAACCCAGGCCTGTCTCAGCCTGTTTGCTGGGAGGGCTTTCGCGGTGAGGTCAGAACCCTGCCTCTGCCGTCCCTTGGTCCTCTGCACTCACTTGCACCAGGTCCCCGAGCCCTGCTGCATTTGTACCAAGACACCCCTGCCTCTGGACAACAAATTGAGTTGTATTTTTCTCTTTTCTGCTTAGAGGTTCAACATGTTCCAGGAATTCAATTACATATAATGGCCCTCACTCAACAGCAGTGGATGCCAGAGGCAAAAGCCTTTTGGATGTTACAAATAATGGATGAAATAAGGCCATTACCCAGATACAACAGCGACTGGCATCTGATGAATTCCCTCATATTGGTCTGTACTGGAAATGGCCAAATGTCACTGTTCACAAGTATGCACATCTCTTATGGAAAACTCTCTGAAGGCAAAGCAGCCACTGAATTCTAGGGAGTTTTGCTACAGTAATAAATCTTCCCTCAACTCCCACAACTTGTAGATTTTGAGAACTCTCGCCAGGGTGAGAAGGAGGAAATCCAGGGCCCCTAGTTTGTCATTAAGTCTAACTTTAGCCTCAGGATGGCAGTTTTTGCAAGACAAGGATCTCTGAGAGTCAGCAGGAAGTCTGCCTCTGAATCTTCATGGGTCAGATCGTGTTATGCTGAATGTTGAATGGACAAGTTCAAATTTGAAACCAGGTAACTTGGTTAGTTACATTAACTGTCCCCGCTTCTCCTCCAACACTAGGTAGGTGAGCTATTGGGCTGAGTCTTAAAATATACATAGATAAAATTAAATACCTGTTTATTTCATTAGTATCTCTCCCTACCTACACTGTAAACGTGTCTTGTGTGCCCTGGCACTGCTGTGCCCAGCACCTGGCTGACCAGTACTGGCCATCATAGGATGTGATGAGTGTTAAATCTGTATTCAAGAGATAGAGCAATCCTATCAGGAAATGGGGGCTTATGATGAATGACAGAGATGGAATTCCAGAAAAACTAAAAGATGAGGTGTTTTCAGGGACTTGGGAGCCATGGCAACCAGCAATGGTTTAGGACCCCTCCTCTTCGCTGAGGCCCATCTATTATTTGTAAGAGACACTGCCGGATGCACCTGTGGGTGCAACTCTCTGGAAAGGGGACCCAGAGGGACAGTTGATTGATTCCATCATGGCACCGTAGTGGGGATGGACAGACACCAGGGAAGTTGGGAACTCAATCTTTTCTACAGGACACTCTGAAATGAGTGTTCTGCCTGTTTTGTCATCTCCTACGAGATTTTCAAAGCAGAACATGGCATGCTTTGGATGTTAGGTATTAACTACTACGGCGTTGATAAGACCTCCGTTTATCACCTTCTATAAGGTCATATCAACACACTTTCTGCTTGCACTTAAAAAGCATAGTATTTTCACTGTGGCTTTACTTTACCAAAAACACAATGCAGAAGCTGCATTTTAGGAAGCATGCATTCACCCAAAGACAGGAGTGCTTCCTACCAGCATAAGAAGGAACAACTCCTACCACATCACGCTCCGGGCTAGGGGTTCTACTGGAATATAAAGGCCGGGGCTTCAAAAACCACTAGTAGAGTTTATGATTTGCTTAGAAAGCTGGGCTGATGAAAACATTCAAGAAAATTTATGGCTGAGAGCATCAAATTTTTAATGTAGTTCTCTTTCCAGAAAAAATAAGGCTCCCTCTTAAGGTTCTTACAAGATGAAGCTGTATTTGTCACAGTTTCTTCCTCAACAACAGCTTGTCTGCAGGCTTGACTTACATGGGAGGAGAATTTAACTCAGTGAAAACAAAATGCCTTTATTCTAACAGCAAAAGCAAGGATCTGTGGGAACAAAATGTCTACATTCTAAATCTATGAAAGTAAACAAGGCTGTATTTCATCACCGCCTAGCTGGTACTTACAGGTAATTTTCTGCACCATTTTGGCAGCTATGGAAAATTAGTAAAAGGGCAGGAAAACAGGCAAAACAAAAACAAAGCAAAGATGATAATTCAAGAAAAACACATGGCAACCGAAGGATAAAAGCTAACCACAATGTGCAGCGTCAAACACGTTTGTGTATAAATAAGACCAAAAAGGAAACTTCACAAAGGAATACCCCTTTTGCAAATGAAATGACACAAAAATAATGACTGAAAATACAAGTAACACAGAAATCTAAATATTTAATCTCCCTTAAAGGTATATGAAGTGAACATTTCCAAGCCCTGATTTTAGCGTCATAGGCTTGGGCGTGTAGACGAGTGTTTACTGACTAGAGCGAAGAGCCCCCTTGTGGTTTCCTGACCCTGCAGAAGCAGTGGTCTTCAGCATAACGTGTAGGCGTCTCTTCTTAAGAATGACCCTACAACAATGAGGTGTCACCTCACACCTGTCAGAATGGCCGCCATCAACAAATCATCAAACAACAAGTGTTGGCGAGGGTGTGGAGAAAAGGGGACTCTAGTACACTGCTGGTGGGAATGCAGACTGGTGCAGCCACTATGGAAAACACTATGGTGTTACCTCAAAAAATTAAAAATTGAACTGCAATTTGACCCAGTGATCCCACTTCTAGGAATATACCCTAAGAAGCCTGAAACACCAATCAGAAAGAATATATGTACCCCCATGTTTGTAGCAGCACTATTTACAATCGCTAAGATCTGGAAACAGCCCAAATGTCCATCAGTAGACGGATGGATAAAAATGCAGTGGTACATATACACAATGGAGTACTACGCAGCTGTAAGAAAGAAAGACCTCTTATCCTTTGAGACGACATGGAGGGACCTGGAAAATATCATCCTAAGTGAAACAAGCCAAACAGAGAAAGACAAGTTTCATATGATCTCACTTATTTGTGAAATATAATGAACATAACAGTCTGAGGAATGGGGTAGTCCCAGAGACGCGGAAGTGGGGTACAGACTGACAATCCCCTAAATAGGGGGGTGGTGGGGAAGAGATAAACCACAGAACTTATATGAATGTATGCATGAACAGTGGACATGGACAACAATCTGGGGACAGGGCAGGGAGGGAGGGGGAGGGGGGAATCAGTGGGGGAAAAAGGAGAAACATCTGTAACAAAAATTAATTAATAAAAAAAAAAGAATTTGGGGAGGGTACAAACATTCAGTCTATAGCACCCCTGTTGATAGACATTTGGGTTGTTTATAGGTTTGGGATATCATTAAGAAAGCTGCTACAAACAATTTTGACCACAAAAAAAAAAAAAGAATGACCCTGCAGCACATAAGCAGCAAGCACCAATACACACCACAACTAGCTTCTTGTCTGCCCAGCCACAGGCGGCCTTCTAAGTCAGCCTGCTTGGAGATGTGCGCAGCCAACTCCTGCAGCCACTATCTCTGCAGCAGCTGCTGACTTGAGCTGGCCTGACAGGGCACAGAGCTCATTCTTAGGTTTGGGAGTCTCCAGGGGCCTGGATAGAAATTCTGCACGAGTTCCACTCCAGAGGCTGCCCAGGTTCCTGCCAAGGTCATGGATTCCTTACAGCTGTCTTCAGGCAAAGCAATCCTTGGCCCAGAGCTGGGCTAGAGGCCGTTGCTTTGCTTTCCTGGCATAGTCCCTATCAGGAGAGGAGGGGGCTGGCAGCCCTGGAGGGAGGGAGCTACCTACCTGCAAAATCTCTGCCCTGGAGGGGTGAGGGGCTTTAAAATCTTTAAAAGTAGACTTATTGCCCTGGCCGGTTTGGCTCAGCGGTTGGAGCGTCGGCCTGCGGTACAGAGAGACCCGGGTTCGGTTCCCGCTAAGGGCGCGTACCTCGGTTGCAGTTTGTCCCCGGCCCTGGTTGGTCGTGCGGGTGGCAGCCACTCGATGTCCCTTCACATCGATGTTTCTCTCTCTCTCTCTTCCTCTCTCTCCCTCCTGCTCTATCTGAACAAAAAATGGAAAAATGTCCTCAGGTGAGGATAAAAAAAAAAAGTAGACTTATTGATTAGGCCACAGGGTGATCGTGCTGGGGACTAAGGCTTGAATGACTCTGATCTCAGAAGAACCACACCTCTCTATATGGCCTAATCCCTAATACTGAAAGAGGACCTCAAACTCTAGAAATCTTAATGACCAGCATCAAGAACGAAGCAGAGCTTCACTTAGTCGTCTTGACGACATGGGACTGTGGTCTTGAACGTACAATACAAATGGATCCTTACTCTGGGTAGGTGTGCTAGTTCGGGGAAACACTGATCCGTTCTCACCTCGTTCAGACCTGGAGTAATAGTTGGTGCAGCAATGAAAACAACGAAAGGAGCGAACTCGGCAGTTCTCAGGACCTTCAGCGCCTGTGCAAAAAAAAAAAAAAAAAAAAAGAACGGAAACTTAGAGGAAATAAGTAATGCAACTTTCGAATGAGTCTACAAAAAATTACACAGCCGGAAAAGCCCTGGATTCAAATTTCTGGCAAGGCATTATTAAATTTACCAACTTTATAAATAAGATATTACCCCCTTTCTTCCAAAGGATAGACAATAGCCATCAGCAAATAAAAGGTGACAAACTGGACATTTTTCTTATGCATCTCATGAATCAATCTTGACTTATTTTTCTTCAGAAAAGTTAACACTGATTATGTTGGTTTAATGTTTGCTTAAACTTGGTTATTAATTGTAGCCTAAACTTGAATTGATATGAAATGCATTTGGGGGTGGATTGGGACCAGGGGGCTGGCTTCACCACTGATCTAGAGCCTGCTTCACATTTCAAACTTCCAATTGCTAACAAGGATTAGCGAATCCTGGCCACTGTCGCTGTGAGGTTGTGTTGCAGTTAATGAGTTGCCCTGATGAAAGGCCCCCGTTGGGCTCAGGGTGGGGGGTTAGACCCTGTCCAGAGCTGGAGTCTGGAGCCACTAATGAAGCTGTGGGGCTGTGGGCAATTCATAGGCCCATGAGAAGACACTACATTCAGAACTGATCCCTTTCAGTTCCCTTCCCTGCCATCAAAAGCTGTGCCAGCTATGAGTTCGCGTGGACATAGTGCAGAGCTGTCATCGGGTGGTGTAGCAGTTGAGTCTGGTAAGGGATGACTGTGTCAGCTCCCCCCCACCAGCACATGACGCTCCTAGAGGTTACAACGTCCCCTCTAGGGAACAAAATTAAACATGTATAGGCACACGATTCATAAGTAACTGATGTGTAATTAATTTGTACGTGTCAGGGGTAAGTATCTCGCTGTCCTTTACGCAAGAACTTAGCATGTCTATTCTGTTATCCACATATTTTACCCTCTAAGTGGCCTTTCGATGGTTTGTTTTGCACTATTCCTTTTCTTTTTCTTTTGCCTGGTTGACTGCAGTAGCAATTAGATCTATTTCTCTGCCTCCAGGTTTTGCTACGTTCCAATCCATACTAAAGCCTGCCACCAGAGTGGTCTTTTGGAAAAACAGATCCCAACGTATTACTCCTCTGCTTCAAACCCTTGGCCAGCTCTCGTTTGGCGCTGGGATAAAGTGTGCAGTCTTTGGCATAAATGCCAGATCCCTGCCTCATGAACTGACCCATGCTCACCTGTCAGCCTCTCTCTGCCCCTCCAAGGACTGGCCCTGCAGAAGGACTTTGTTCTACAAAGGGCCACAGTCTGTCTGGCTTCCTGGCCCTTTTCTCCGGACCGCAGGCTGACGCTCTAACCGCTGAGCCAAACTGGCCAGGGCCTGGCCCTTTTCTTATGACTCCCTCTGCCCGGACCTTTCTCCATCCCCATGTCCCTGTTCCCACTCTCCCTTCTGCTTGGTTGAGTGTTTCCTGAACAGATTACTGATTTTCTTTTCTCTAGAAAATTCTATGTGAGCTCCGAACTGAGGTCAGGTGCCCCTCCCATGTGCTCCTGATGCACCCACACTTATGCACCTGTAGTGCCTGGGTACTGGAGGGTACGCCCCCTGAGGGCATGGGCTGCGTCTTGTTATTTGTCTCCGTCATGCCCCAGATGGCACTTGGTATACACTGTCTTAGTGATGCAATGAAAATGTAAGGCGATACATGTAATTTGCACAAAATCTAGCTTGCCTGGCGAGGCAGGTTCAACTAGAGGGCACTATGCTTTCGCGGCTGAAGGGAATCTCTTGGCCTTTATGAGTTCACAGGCATGTAAGAGGCAAATTGAAGAGTAAAGGTTTTGACTTTCTTTTTTAGTGGAAGTTCACTTTCACTAGGATTACGCTTCTGAATTTTAGTTACACGGTATCTCCTTGGGAGTTAAGCGAACCTGGCACATTGTTTTACTTGTCCATCAAAGGGTTTTAATTGTGAGTCACAGGCTCAGATTCCCCTTGTGAGAAAGCTCTTTAAGGTTGCATACGTTCATGTTTGATTAGTAATTTTTTTTTTTTTTTATCCTCACCCGAGGATATTTTTCCATTTTTTGTTCAGATGGAGCGGGAGGGAGAGAGAGGAAGGGAGAGAGAGAGAGAAACACCGACGTGAAAGGGACACATCAAGTGGCTGCCACCTGCACGACCAACCAGGGCCGGGGACAAACTGCAACCGAGGTACGTGCCCTTAGCGGGAACCGAACCCGGGTCTCTCAGGACCGCAGGCCGACGCTCTAACCGCTGAGCCAAACTGGCCAGGGCTCATACGTTCATGTTTGAAAGAAGTAACTGGCAATTTCTTTGCCAGTCCTTTTGTGACTGAAGAGTTTAGCAAGGAACATGTGAAAGGCCTTATGTAGCTCCATCGAGCTTAACAGGCATCTTCACTTAGAAACGTCCTTTTTGTCAGTATTATCTTGGGCCTTTTCTCCTGTCCTTCCTCTGCTCGTAAATCCGGGGAGACTACAGGTCAGTTGAAACATAAGGTTTCCTCATCACCCCACACCTACCTACAGCCAGCTTCTGGGCAACTGAGATGAGAAAAACAGTCCTAACGCACAGTTCCTACCCTTGCGCCCGGCCCCGAAGCTGCTCCGAGTGCCAGATGGACCTTCACACGGCCTAGACGCCGGCTGGAGCCCACGGATGAAGTCGAGAACGATACCCGAGGCCTGAAATGGTCATTTCTCTGCTCGGTGACCTCAGCCTCATGGCCATCCAATTCTTGGAATATTTTCAGTTCTAGCCTGCTACCGTATTACAACGCCAGAAAACACGCTGCTCAGGTATTAGTTCCCTGAAGATTACTCTTCTCTGCATACTGCACGCACCTCCTTTGTCTCCGTAAGGACATGAAGGCCACTTTGCACCTACTGCATGAAACTGCCAATGAAGACTGTAGTCATCACACTGCCAAAAGCCTCTTATGCCTAAGAATCAGGTTATATGCCTTTAGCAATGAATTCCAAGGAAAGAACTGGCGTACTTCTATTAGCGGGAACCGAACCCGGGTCTCTCTGGACCGTAGGCCGACGCTCTAACCGCTGAGCCAAACCGGCCAGGGCTGGCGTACTTCTATTAGATGAGAATCATGTGCTCCATGACATTTCCCTTTTTGTCCTGGTTGCCAGGAAGTTCAGAGCTAAATTTCATGTTTATTACAGTAATTATCGTAGCCTCTGTGGTTAGCATATTTGTTTCCTCTTCCTCATGGCTTTAATTTTTTATTTCTATCCTATATTATTATATTTCCAAAAATTATAAACTATCTTGAGTCCTGATTGAGATTTTTTTTGTCTAGTCGCTTTTATATCTTCAGCAGAGTCACCACACTTTCCCTCAGTTCTTGAAGGTCTCTGTCCCCATCCTCTGCTTAACTTATGGGTCTCAAGTGGGTGACTATATTTTTTATTTTATTTTTTTTTGCATTTTTATCTTCAGACAGAGTGGGAGGGAGAGAGAGAGAGAAACATTGATGTGAGAGAGACAAATCAAGTGGTTGCTACCCACACAACCCCAACCGGGGCTGGGGACAAACTGCAACCAAGGTACATGCCCCTAGTGGGAACTGAACCCGGGACTCTCTGGTCCACGAGCTGACGCTCTAACCACTGAGCCAAACTGGCCAGGGCGAGTGGGTGACTTTATATGAGACACAAATTTGTTAATATTGACAAGCAAATATATTTATTTGACAAGCAAATAAAAAATATATTTTTTATTGATTTATTTTTTAGAGAGAGAAGAAGGGAGAGATAGAAACAAAGATCGGCCACCTCCTGCACACCCGCTACTGGGGATGGAGCCCGTAACCCAGGCATGTGCCCTGACCGGGAATCGAACTGGGACCTCTCAGTCCATGGGATGACGGTCAGTCCACTGAACCACATCGGCTGAACCAAATATCTGTTTTCTGAATCCCTGAGAGGAGAGAGAGTCTAGAAAGATCTCTGAAAATACACTGGACTCAGTCAAAGTAACATTAATTTAACATTTAAAACTAATTCTTTAGTTCTCTTCTAGGGAGATAGATTGCTTTTACGGCTCATTTGAGGTCAGTAATTAATATCAGGTTACTGTCTTCCAGGAACAAAAAACCCATTTGACCAAGTATGTAAGATGCAGATATTGTTAAGATTTATTTGGTTTGCAAACTTAAAAAGTACCTAAGAGCAGGCACCTGAGTCATTTTATCCAAAAATCTAAGGGTTTAAGGAAGAGCATAGTGAGCCCAGAAACAATCTTAAGAGAGCGAGCTGATTTCACAAAACAGCCCTTGGTTCAGAAGCTGGCTCTTGTTTTGAGCACAGATTCCTAGTAAGACTGCAGCTACCTTTTGAGGACAACCTTTCCCTTTATGGGCAAAAGCAAAACCACAAGCATTCTGCTGCTCTTAACTTTCTAATATGGCAAATGGAGGAATCAGAATAAAATTAAAACTTAGAACCGTCACAGTAAGTTTTGATTGCACCCCGGAGCTATCACGGTTTGGGCTTTAGGGACATAGATTCTTTTCTGAGCCATGTCTTTATTTCCATGAGAAATAAGTTCCATAGTTTTTCTCAGGTTGGACTGTCTTCTAGATATTTTTATATGCAAAAAACCTCCCAAGGATTTAAATTGTACCGCTACATACAAGGTGGATCAGCTTAAGGATTCTCAGGGTTAACTCTTCTAGGATGATACAATAAAAGGAGGTTAAAATTTATTATAAAAAATTCAGATCAACACTGTTCAAGTTCAAACCTCATTTTCCATTGGCTGCAAAACCTCGGTCAAGTTATAATTATGTGAAGCCTTGGTTTCTTCATCCACAAAAGTAGATACTGATATCTCTGTCTCAGGGTCACAAGAACTAGGTAAGGAGTACTAATGCCTAGCAAAATGGAGAGCACTACTGGAACACAATCTATTATTACTGCTTTATAGGAAGCTAGGTTACAACTTTCCTTCTAGTTTAATGCCTTTATCATGGTTCTTTAGGTTTCAAGTTGGACCACGATGCCTCATCATACAGTATTGTTAGACATGTGTTCAATTTGGCCTGAACTGTCTGAAACAGGATGGCCCAGAGTATAGACCTGCGCTAACCGAGCTGAACCCCTGCGTCAGCTGCTCTTCTCTGGTCTGCACGTAGCGGAAGTGGTGTCAGCAGTGAGGGAAGTGAGAGGGTTTAACAAGTGCCACGTGGCATCTCTCCTGTTAGGGACAGTTTGTGATGTACACGGAGGAAGGAATTTCATCCTCACCAGCGTGCCTTCCCATTTGCATGCTTAGCTCCTGGCACAATGCTTGGAATATAGTGAGTGATTCATATAAGCCGGTTGAATCAAACCATCCATGAGATACAGTAGAGGAGTTCACCTAAAAGGCTGTGTGTGTGTGTGTGTGTGTGTGTGTGTGTGTGTCGGGGGGAGTGGCGTGGAGAAAAATGTCCTAAGGACAGAGCTTCCCTGGAGCAAGGGGCTCTGCCTGCCAGCACGTGGGTCATGGCCACGGGCGTCCTGATGTGAGGATGCGGGCCCTTCAAGCCTGGGGAGAGAGTGGACTGAAGGCAGAGAAGCCCCAGGGTGAAGCCCAGTAGGTGAGACCCTGCGGGCGCCTGGTGTACCCCTGCACGCGACAGTCAGTGTGAGCGCCGGACTGGGCATACGTCTAGACCGGGCATGTGTGGCCCTGCGAGGCAGAGCCTGGGACCGGAGTGGTCAACCAGACCAATGAGCCAAACGGGACCTAGGCGATCCCTGTCCCCAGGGCCACGGGCCCAGAGAGGCTCAGGCAGAGAACAGGATGCGTATGGCCTGTCCTCAGCATTGGGTGGCTCTGACAGATCATGGTTCTCAGAGGTGGGGACACAGGAAGCAGGAGAGAAGGCAGTGAGCTCATCCAGGAGTCAGGGGGAGCAGGGAACGTGCCCAGCCTGGGATGAGGAGTGCTCTGGTGCCCGATGCCACACATAAAAGTGACTGCCATGGATGTCCTGAGAAGGCCATGAGGCGTGTCTCCCGTTCAGCAGTGCAGAGCAATGCATGACTGTGCAAGGGCAGGGGCGCGGGGACAGTGGCCGCTAGGAGGAGCGGCGGCAGCAGCAGCAGCAGCGGCGGCGGCGGCAGCGGCGGGGCGGCAGCAGGTAAAGGCAGAAAGCCCTGGAGAGTGGACTTAGGTAAATGCGGAGGGAGTCTGAGGAGCCCTGCAGCCAGCATACTGCTAGAGACATTACTACCAGCAGAAAACGACGTTCAGGTGAAGACCATTGTGGAACCCAAGGAGAGGATGTCGAAGACCAGGACCAGGATTGAGACTTTGCCTCTAGCCACCCCTGGCCAGAAGATTTTTCCAATCCCTAGTGAGGAGGGATTAGTAGTTAAACAAAAGTCAATCTGTGTTACACATCATATATTTAGTTCTATATAGGTCCAAGATAATTGTTAAGTAAACTATAGAGTGTTCACCTTCCTGGTGCTTTCCTCCCAGCCCCGTAACCAGATTCCAAGTTCAAGAAGCCCATCGCTGCTGTGAAACGGACACAGGTGAACCCACTGGCCACGATGTTAGGGTTCCGGAGCCGAGAAACTGAGCTGTCAGGCCTCAGGTCACACAGACCTTGACCGCAGGTTCCATCCTCCCTTTGGGGATAGCTAGGGGACCAAGCCTCATACGGTGGCCCTTGAACAAGGATCTCCCCTGCCTGGGATAGCCAGGTAAGCCTGCTGATGAAACGGGGCCTGCTTGAGGGGCGCCGATGTACCATTTCAGCAGGTGGCATACTGATTCTACTTCTGAGTGCTAAGGGATTCTGGCACAGATGGGTCTTTAGAAATGACAGCCCGGGAGTCACGGGGCACATACAAGCCTCTCCTGCAACCTGCCCCGATGCTTCCAACTCCACAACCCTTCCTTCCGGGCTTTAAGTCCCACTTCCACTTGGTTTGTCCTCAGAGAGGAAAAAAACAGCTTATCTGCATTTCTGAAGGAAGGCCTTCGGCTTTTTCCTTTGTAAGTTCAGTAATTTCTATTGCTTCTGGCATAGGACTTATCTACGAATCATCCAATCATCTCTGCATCTGGCTCCCCGAGTCCTCTCCACGGCCTGCATATCCCTCCTGGTTTTAGCTCAGGGTCAGGCATCGTCCTCAGTAAAGAGATGGCAGAGGCTGACGACCACCACGGGGCTCCATTCCGGCCCCGTCGGACACCCCCAGGACTCTCTCCTGCTTGCTTTCATAAAGCGAGCGCTGTGTTTCAGACCCAGGCTCCAGGGCCTGAGTTTCTCACTGGGGATTAACATCAGATGCTGGCAGAGGCTCTGATGGTCCAGTGTGAGCTGGACCCAGAGATGTAAAGGTGGCTGTTGGGATAACAAAGTGCCCGACTCTCACCCCGAGGTCAGATTATTGCAGTATTTCTGGCAGGCACAGACCCAATCAGGTACTTTATTGAGCTTCTGAGTATAATGACTCTCATAAGAGGATAGTCTCTGCTTTTTAAATACATGGTGTGTACAATGAGTCCAACAATTGGTCAGTTTGCAGTCTAGACTGTTAACCCACAATGCCTTCATCACTGATACTTTCCTGTAGTTTATTCCATTATTATGCGACCCCTGACATTCCGATGGCATTTTGATTTCAAAACCTGAGCTCAGCATGCAGGCAGGATGACGGGGGGCTGGGTGTGGCGGGCATTTACCTGAGGCTCCACGTCCAGTATTGCAATCAGCCCCTGCTCGTGGATCTTTCGGATGGTCTCTAGTTTTGTCCCATACATCGCATCCTCGTGGCTGCCATACTCCAAGTACTCATTATTAGAGATGTCTTGCATCATTTGGTCATGAGATACAAAGTAATAATTCTTGCCGTTTTCTTCATCTTTCTTTGGAGGTCTGGTTGTATCTGCAAAGTCACATGTCAAGAGAGGATGAAAAGGCCGGCCTTATGAGCCTATGTCCCCAAACGATCTACCCAAACCTAATCTCTTCTTAAAAGCTGTAGATTCTGCAGTATATGCAGCATGCCCTGTTCCCACCAGTAGCTCTGTAGAACTAAACGGCAGAAGCTGTATTTATCTGTGTAACATCAGACCGCAGTAGCTGGTTAGTTGTTTGCTTTGGTGAATCTTTCAGTGTTTAGATAAGCTCTATTTCATTCTTTCATAGGTCACCACAAGTGACCCAAGATTAACTTAACTTACTGTATGCCTTAATACACTTAGGCAGAAGAAAAACAGAATGTAAAAGATAGAAAACTCCATATGGTTATTTAAATTTAAAATAATTAAAATTACATAAATTAAAATGTCAGTTCCTCAGTCTCCCTAGCCACATTTCCAGGGTTCAACAGCCACATGTGGCTGATGGCTACTGTACTGGACAGTGCAGATACTGAACACTGTTATTATTAGAAAAAGTTCTCTATTGGGTACTGCTTGCCTTTAGTATCTTGCAAAAGGAGAATGCTAGAATACAGCAAAGGGCGTACCCTATTGAACACACAATGACCATAGCCAGATGTGGCCATAATAGTTAAGAAAGACCTTAAATAGGAGTTGGCCAACTACAGCCTATGGGTCAAATATGGCCCACTGTCTGTTTTTGTAAATAAAGTTTCATTGGAACACAGTCATGTCCATTTCTTTACATATTGTCTATGGCTAAGTTCATGCTACAAGGGCAGAGTTGAATAGTTTCAGCAGAGACTATATGGCCCTCAAAGCCTCAAATATTTTCTATCTGGCTCTTTACACAAAAAGCTTGTTGACCCCTTACCTACGCCAAGTATAGACTAAAGTATCTGTCAGTAAGTCCTAGTTCTCTGTGGGATACTAATAGGACCGGTATTCTGCAAAACACAGTTTAGGGAACTTTTTCTAGGCAAGCCAGGGACATTGGTTTTGTTTTTCTTCCCCCCACCTTCTTTTTTCTCCCTCTCCCTCTTCTCTCTCCTCTCCTGTCCTTCCTTCTCTTTTCTTCCTTTCTCCCTTTCTTTCTTTTCTTTAAATTTCCTTATTTGCTTGCTTCCTTCCTTGAGTGGCAAGGATGAATTTATGCTACTCTTTGCTGTGTGGATGGGTGCAAACCCATAGGGAATTCCCCCTCTCCTGCCCCAGCTAGACCATTAGAACTGCCAAGAGCTCATGGACATCAAAATGTGGGTATTTTAATCCTTTCTCCAGGTACGTGAAAAGCGGAGCCTGGCCGGTGTGGCTCAGTGGTTGAGTGTGAACCCACGCACCAAGAGGTTGCTGGTTCGATTCCCGGTCAGGGCACATGCCCAGGTTGTGGGCATGATCCAACAGTGTGGGGCATGAAGGAGGCGGCCAGTTGATGTTCTCTCTCATCATCAATGTTTCTATCTCTCTCTTCCTTTCCCTTCTTCTCTCTCTCTAAAATCAATAAAGAAAAAAAAATTAAAAAAAAAAAGAAAAGCTGAAAAAAAAAAAGATACATACTATAGGGATGCTGTACTATGTTCAGTTATTTTGGTAGTTAAACATATGATATATACACATCTGGGGCCAAATATTTCAGAGAGTAAACATGACTGAGGTCAGCAATGGTAGACTTTAAAACCAAGCTAGTTAATTGGCCATTTAATAACATTAAATTGTTCTGTGATCGAGAAGAAACTAAATGTTGGCTAAGCTTGCTGTATTCATGATCTAGACATCGGAGAATTAAAAGAACATTTGAAAGTGTTTTATTAGAAAACCCCAGTGGTATTAGTTAAAACAATATTTGATGAATTTCTTTCTTTCTTTTTTTTTTTTATCCTCACCTGAGGATATTTTTCCATTTTTTGTACAGATAGAGTGGGAGGGAGAGAGAGGAAGGGAGAGAGAGAGAAACATCGACGTGAAGGGACACATCGAGTGGCTGCCACCCGCACGACCAACCAGGGCCGGGGACAAACTGCAACCGAGGTACGTGCCCTTAGCGGGAACCGAACCCGGGTCTCTCCAGACCGCAGGCCGACGCTCTAACCGCTGAGCCAAACTGGCCAGGGCATGAATTTCTTTTTTAATGTGTAGCTCGGCCAGTGTTCTGGGACGAGGGTGGTCTTACGAAGCCTCGTGGCTCTCGGGGGTATAGCGAAAACAGGAAGAGGTGTTGACATGGCTTCAGGAAGGCCCTACGGAACAGAGCCAGTCTTTACAGTTTTCGCCTTCTGCTCTTAAAATTCATTCTCCCTTAGTTCTTCTCACTCTGAACAAAGCTCTAAATGCTAGAAAGCTTTTGGGATTCAAACGTTAAACTCTGGAGTAGCAGTAATATTATGGTGGCAGGATGACTACTATGTATCCAGTATCTGCTAAGTGCTTCCCGTGATCTCAAATCCTCTTTCTATCTCTAGAATTACTTCATTTTATAGTGGTGGGAACAAAGAGGGCAACAGCATAAGGATAAGACATAGAAGATAAGGGGAATAAAAATATCATAGATTTAAAGTTATTTATAAGCAACAACTGGTAGCACATTGACTGGATTTTGAAAGTGATAAAAGTCAACAATTTAGTTGCTGAGTAAGGAAAATATTGTTATATCAAAGAAAACTATACTATCGTTAAAACCTATTTTTCTGAAGAATAATTGATCTGGGTAATATTTATGATGTATTGTTGAAAAGAATTAGGTTACAAATAGAATGGATGAGCCAAACTTGGTTAAAAAAACCACCAACCAACCACCACCACTACCACCACATACACAACACATATTTGCATTAAGAGAAGCCCGGAAGGGTAGAAAACAAACTATCTGTAGCACTATTATTAGGGGAGTGAGGTTGGGATTATTAACTCATTTTCTTATTTGTTCTTTTCTGGATCTTCCAAATTTCTTACAGTGAACAGTTACTACTAATGTAATCAGAAAAACAAATATAAATTGAAATATTAAACAAGGATTAGAAAAATATAATTACAAAAGAGACACTGCTTACGTGGAATAGGGTATGCAAACCGGTCTGGGTGCTTTGTGATGAGGGTGTTTTTTATGTGTCTTCTCCCAACACCATGTGCACCTACGCCATTTAAAAAAAAGTAAGTTAAGATGGACAACTGTTAATAATAGTCACAAAATGTTTTGAAGATGAGAATAAGAGAGCCATGTGTTTACCTAGTCAGACTTACCTAATAAGACTAGTGTTTTCCTTTTGAATGCTGGCAGTTTTACAACTTCTTCATAGGTAACAAGATCTAATTGATCAAACACTAAAATGCAAAGATTTAGAAGAAAGGTGAATTTACAGAAAGAATAGTTCATGTGTGTAAATTATAATTTTACTGGCAAGACTAAAGTTATAGTAAAACCATGTCTTAAAAAATATGAATCCAACTTATAATACATTTAAGTCATATAACCTTTTGGAAGAAAATTTCATTTTTAAGCCCATGAAAATGCACTTTAGAAACAGGGGCTTCCAAGGATACGTTGAGCACATGCATAAAAGTCCAATTCTAAAGGATACTGCATATCTTTACATGCAGTATCCAACAAATCATATGAATTCATTCAAAACCACATGCTGATCATATTTTTGCAATTCTAAGAAATCAGCAATACTAAAAAGAAAAAAGTCTGCAGACAGTGACCAACATGAATATAGAATGAATGCAACTAAAGTGAACCAAGAAAGAGGCTAGCTAGATTATCTAGGGATGGATGTGGGATGCATGGACAGCTGGTCTTTAACTTCATGGTTCTTTATTTCAACAGAGTTGCTAAAGGCAGCATGCTAGATTTTTTTCAACATCAAGTTCTGTAACTATGATTTCACAGGCTTTTGAAATGAGCACCTCACAAGTTTTATTGTAACCCAGCTATCCATTTGATGGAAAGTCTTGGGAATGCAACTAGGGAAACATGCTTCCCTGGGCCCCAAACTTTGCTGGCCTGTGTGTGGTAAATCAGGATGAAGAGGATGGAAAGAAGCATGAAGCGGAGTCTGAGCTTGAAAACCTTTGCAAAAGGGAGTTCTCTAATCATTACAGACTGAGAAGAAACACTTTAAAAATAATTTTTGGAAACCTGCCTCTTAACAAAACTATTACAAGTAGTTACAAAAATATCTACAAATAGTTACGAAACGATTACGAAAAGTTACAAAAATCAGGAAAGTATCGGGAGAATGCAAAAAACAGACAGAAACAGGAAAAATCCCGAGAATGCATAAAAAGGAGAAAATAAAGAGAGCACCTCGAGATACAGAAAACGGAGAAAATAATAGTTCCGTAATGTGATAAACAAAACCTTCCCAAGAGGATAACCATTCCTATCGAAGTTCAAGGTAGTCCAATTCTCATACACATTTGAAAATTCTTACAAGAAGGCTAATCATGCATCTATGTTTCTGGCATTATTTTTCTATGTGATAATACCCAAATGTTGTCAGGCACACTAAAGTTTCTTTATTAAGAGATATGGAATATGCTATGGATTTTAAAGGGGTTGAAAGAAATTCAGTAAAATTGATTCCCTGGTGTAAAATAAAGGAATCTGGGGTGTTTCAGTCAATCATTAAGAGAAGCTTCTACTCTCTGAAACAATATGGCCAAATGCTTTTGAATATCAGCTTAGTCCTTAACATTTGTGATCATCCCAGTAGCAAATAACCTTAAATGCAAAATAGGATACTCTGGAATGCAATAGATCAGAAACAAACAAAGGAACAAAAGTATCATTCCCAAAATATTAAAAAAAGAAATCCAATATGTTTAAATAAGGATTAGTGCATGTTAATGGGTATTTATGCATTTGTTTTCTTTTGATAACTTGATTCCATAAAGGTTGACTAAAACTCTTTAAAGTATATTTTCTAGCAACAGCTAAAAACCAAGAATTGCTTTCTGTGTTTAGAATGGCAGACTTACAGAATCAAAATGAACACGAGGTTCTCTGCATAGCAGAGCTAGCTAGTCATGCTGCGATAGTAATGGAGTGATGAGAGTTGCAAAAATAAAACCAGGAGTGCTTACGACACTGATTTTTCTACCTATTGCCTTCTGAATATTTCCATCAAGAAAATGTATGCTTATGAAAGAGGTGCACCAACGCTGTCAGATTTTAATATATAAAAATAATCAAATATCTCACAAAAGAGCAAGATGATAATGACAGAAGCTTTCTGAGTGGTGTATACACCCATTTTCCCTCTACAGAGCCCTAACTCCAATCCTACTGAAACAAGACGTCTCATTAAAACACACACACATAAGAATGAGTTAGATATTAACCATTAACACCACAAACAAATGAACAGATATGTTACACATCAATATCTTAACCATAAATGAGTAGCATGAAAAGGTGACTCTGGTCTAAAATCAACACAAGGTCACAGGATTGAGAAACAATAAAAAATAATATTTTAAAATAAGACATACAAGGAATAAGGAGAACACTAAAAGACTGGACTTTTAAAGGTTTTAGGATGTTTGCTGATTTAAAACAAAAAAGGACTTAATGAAAGGAAACCATCAAAAACAAAGAGGCATAGTCACTCAACAGGTTACTTACATGCACAGAGGCCATTGGGAGTAAGACAGCATGAAAAATGTACAGGGGTCATTGAAATATGGCTTTTAATATATTAGTAAAATAAAAGTATAATATGCACAAAGAAACTTTATCATGCAATATTCTAAACACGAGGCAAATAAATCACATTAAGAAACAAATCCATTTAATAAAAATTCAACAATATCCTTATATAAAAGCCAGTAGGTTTTATATACTAGCATATACATAGAAATTGTGTCTGGGAATAGTTACAAGAAACTTTTTCAGGGAGTGTAGGTGTGGAAGCCTTTTGGTTTTCATTTTGTATCTTCCTGTACTGTTTGCAATTTCTAATCATGTATTGCTTAAAAAGAAAAACATTCACAGGGCAGTGAGATTATGGGCCACTTTGTTACCTTTAGCTCTGTGTTAAAGAAAAAAGTTATAGTTTTTTTAGTCAACAGTACTAATTTGTGGCATTATACATAATTTAAACACACCTATGAGTGGTACTGTAGAAACCCTCTATATTCATATGGATGTATGTAAATAGGGTCTCACAGGATATTGAAATACTTCTGCTCAGGGCTGTAACATTGATGAAATAAATTACTGCATATCTTTCCCCCCAAAGTTCACAGTAGTAAGTTAATCTTAAACTGATTTTGGAAGTCCTAGGGCTGAGGAATCTCAATGCCTCAAGAGGATAGTCCTTCTAGTAGCATGACAATATTTTCCCCATCAAATTTATGTAGCTAAAAACTTTTATGCATTGCAGAAAATGTACTTGCTGTAAACACTACACACACCGTAATCAAATCTATTCCCAAGGCTTCAGAAATACTGTCTGGCATAGTTGGCTCATATTATCTTGATTTCCTGGTAAGCTACTCAATATTCGTAACACTTTTAGGTATTTAGGTAATTATTTTCCTCTTTAACAATCGAGTCCAGGTCTCAGTTTTGAAATGCTAGAAGTATTTTCAAATACTGTACAAACTTCCAATTAGAAAAGACAGCACACTGGTAACACTGGGCCGAGTGCACACTCTTATGCCTGCAGTGACCAGGCAGCTAATGTGTTGAAATGAGTGGGCCAGGTGTGGGAATGGAGTGGTGGGGACAATGGTTCCTAGAGTGTCTACAGAACAAGTGTCCAATTCAAAAGGGACATCAACAGCCTAGAGTCATTAAAGAAGAAAATGGGCCTTGTGTTACCATATCCTCTGTTCTTCTGGGCCTGATTTTCAAATGTGATAACTATTATTTTAAACACCATGTTTATGAGAAAAACAAAATTTATTTATGGGTGATATTCAGCTAATAGACTGTCATTTTATAATGTGAGATGTAGGCAACTCAGTTTGAAGAGAATTCGGCTTTAAATAGACATGTGAGCCCTGGCCGGTTTGGCTCAGCAGTTAGAACGTCGGCCCACGGAGCAGAGAGATCTGGGTTTGGTTCCTGCTAAGGGCGTGTACTTCGGTTGTAGTTCGTCCCTGGCCCCGGGGGTCGTGTGGGTGACAACCACTCAATGTGTCTCTCTCACATCGATGTTTCTCTCTCTCTCTTCCTTCCTCTCTCCCTCCCGCTCTATCTGAAGATAAGTGCAAAAATGTCTTTGGGTGAGGATAAAAAAAAAAAAATAGACATGTGAAATTTCCTGGTGACAGAAATGGAAATAATTAATTCCAGTATTATCATTCCCATCAGTCCTAGATACCGACAAAGTTCCCATTCTTCATTTCCACTAAAAATATAAGCAACTTCAGAATGATGATAAGGTTTGGATCTTCCCATCAATATATGCTGAATTCTCAAATATTTGAAGCAGGAAACAAAATATATGACCCTTATTTTAATTTACTGAGGACTATGAGAAGATCCCCCCACTGTATTTTACAATCAACTTCTGAACAAGCAAAAAAAAAAAAAAAAGTCATTCAGAAATATAGTCTGATTTGCGACCCATGAGCTCAATTTGGCTGATTCTTGGTATTAAAGAATATGATATTTCAAAGTTCTCAAAATATCAACCTCACTGATGGAGGTCATCAGTATTTGTTTCTCTCTTCATCATAGCTGAAGGGAGACCAGCCGATAAAATATCTGACTTCCCTTTTGACTTCATCTCTTGTCAAAAAGATCACTAAGCAAATGGATCTTCTGTACTTTATAGCAAACGAAATGGAAGACTTGGTTGGTGAAGGGGAAGAAACCCGAAGAGATGGTGACAGAAAGGCCTTGCCAGGCGCATGCTTCAGAAAGTCCAGGAAAGTGGTCCAGCATCTTCTGCCGACCAGAACAACTAACAGGAGACCTTGTGAGTGATGATTTTGTGGGCAAGGGAACCCTAACAATAACATTCATACTAGACAATTCCAAATAAGCCTAAATGCAAGTTCTACAAAGAAACTCGAGTGGCTCTGCAAGGACCTTATTTATAAGAAGCTCAGTCTATTTATCAAAGGGCAGGAAAGGACAGTCTCACTTGCAGTGACAAATACTGACATGTAAGAGGAAACTAAGCCCTGGCCGGTTTGGCTCAGCGGTTAGAGTGTCGACCTGCGGTCCGGAGAGACCTGGGTTCGGTTCCCGCTAAGGGCATGTGCCTCGGTTGCAGTTTGTCCCCGGCCCTGGTTGGTCGTGCGGGTGGCAACCACTCGGTGTGTCCCTTTCACATCGATGTTTCTCTCTCTCTCTCTCTTCCTCTCTCTCCCTCCCACTCTATCTGTGCAAAAAATGGAAAAAAAAAATGTCCTCGGGTAAGGATAAATAAAAAAAAAAAGAGGAAACTAAGCATGACAAGGAAGGTTCTGGGGCCCAGAAGACCATTGCTTAGGAAAATGCTGAAGATAACAAAACAGCGATGGTGGTGGGTTTTCTCCAATGTCTTAGTTCTACGTTAACAAGAACTTAGGTCCATAGTTTTTGATAGGAGGTATAATGTTGAAAGAGAGAAAGCAATTCTATTCTATCCCTATGAGGCTCCTGCCTTCTTTATCAAGGGTGATAGCCTTCAAACTTGATAGGCGATGTTTACCAGAGCTCAAGCCCGACATAAGGGACAGTGAATGAGAGTACTTGACTTCATTAAATGATACCCATTTGTCAGGCCCAGTGATGAAAGAATCTGAGATTCATTGAATTTTAGAATTAGGAAAGATATCCTTGACTGACTAATGTGATTCAAGATTCCTCTGTTTTGAGGCGCACAGGAGCCAAGTGATTTTCAAAAGTTGCAGTTACGCAAATGTACTAGCTCCTGGTCCTATCTTAGGTTGCTTACTTATTAAGCTTATGGGTGTGTCTGCAGGATCACTGAGCATCACCTATGGTGCATCAGGACAACAGGAACCATGGAAGATCAGTGATGCCCCAGGGTGTCAATGCATGGATAAAGGTTGTGGCTCAGTTGGTTGAGCATCATCCCATGCATCAGGAGGCTGCCAGTTCAATTTCCGGTCAGGGCACATGCCAAGGTTTCGGGCTCAATTCCCAGTAGGGGGCATGCAGGAGGCAGTTGACCAATGTTTCTCATTGATGTTTCTATCTCTCTCTCCCTCTCCCTTCTTCTCTTTGAAATCAATAAAAACATTTTAAAAGCATGGAAAAAAGGCAAAATTCTAAAGTGAACGACTCAATGGACTCTTTGTTAAAATTTAGAGGTTCTAGTTTTTCAATCAATTGGCTTTGTATTTTCCCTCAAAGCTGAATTAAAGAATACTGGCAATTTGAATACTCCTTTCTATGAGCTCTGTATTAGTATAATATAAAGCCAATGATGAATAGACAGCCTTAATCAACTATTTCTTTGCTTTTCTAGGTTTAAATTAATTTTAATGCCATCTATCATCTATGTCATTCAAAATTATTGTAAAAATTACACAAGGATATATGGATATATATATATGTGTGTGTATATATATATATACACACACAGTTGTCCCTCGTTTATTGTGGTTAATCTGTTCCAGACCCTAATGGTTGCACCTGGCGTTTCAGGATTCCTAGGGTGCTCGGATACATAGGCCTACAGTCCATACGTACAGTAATTTTAATTTTAATTGTAATACAGGGGTGTATAATTGACTCAGAAAACCAAGCACGCGCTGTATCATTTTCACTGTCTTGATCAACTTTTTAATGAATATATTTGAAAAAACCACGATAGAGTGAAGCCACGCAAGTCGAAGCATGAAGTGGCGAGGGACGGCTGTGTCTGTATATATCTCTCTCTATATTGACACATCTTGTTAGAAGAAGTTGATGGAAATAAACATGACTATTAAGCCTTGGCAATAACCACTGACATATTGTGTTAAATGACATTCTGCTGATACTACAGTGAATTTGTTCAAATTGTACTACTTGAGCACTGACGATGAATAGTTGCTAAATCATGTTTAACTAATCTACTTTAAATGTTTCTTCCTTTTATAAAACAAAAAAAGCCACTATCAGACTAATGTTCTGTAGTGGTCCGTAATCAGAAATGATACAATTTATTGGAAATAAAATGTGGTCACTCACATTTATTCCACATTACACAGTATTTCAAAATGTTTACTTTTATTCTCTGAATAAGAAATGAACCATTCAGAGTTTCTAAATAATTTTTCCTAATGAATGCTAATAACAAATATTACAACATTCTACAGAGAGAAATGCACTTATTTTTTTTTTTTAATCCTCACCCGAGGATATTTTTCCATTTGTCTTTAGATAGAGAGGGAGGTAGGGAGGGAGGGAGAGAGAGAAATATTGATGTGAGAGAGACACATAGACTGGTTGCCTCCCACATGACCCCGATCAGGGCTGGAGACCAAACTGCAACCGAGGTACGTGCCCTTGACTGGAATTGAACCCATGACTCTCTGGTCCTTGGGCGGACACTCTAACCACTGAGCAAAACCAGCCAGGGCAGTTCTTTTCTCTTTTTTTTTGTTAATCCTCACCCAAGAATATTTTCCCATTGATTTTTAGAGCGAGTGGAAGGGAGAGAAAGGGAAGAGAGAGAGAAATATCCATGTGAGAGAGATACATCGATTGGTTGCCTCCCCCATGACCCTGACCTGGGCTGGGGATCAAACTGGCAACCCAGGTACATGCCCTTGTCCGATCATCAAACCTGTGACCCTTTGGTCTAAGGGCCCATGCTTTAACCACTGAGACAAACCGGCCAGGGTGAGAAATGCACTTCTTATTTGTCAGAAACATTATATTGTCAATTGGGTATGCATGATTCTATTCACTCGATTTTTTTTTTTTTTTTTGCCACGTATCTGATTTTTGGCATTATTTCTGAAACCTTGGGAACTGATTGAATATCAATGTTGGGACTTGCAATTCTTCACAAAAAGTTTCTTATAAAAGGAGTCATATTAAGAAGTTATGGAAAATAAGTAAATCCCACTCTGTATATCACCATGTATTTTCTTTAACTTAAGTTACATCCTGTTGATTCTTCTGGGAATTCTACCACAATGACAGATTATGCTTTTTTGGTATTTATTTCAGTTTTTTTTCTTTTCTTTTTCTTTTTTTTTTGGTACGTGCCCCTAGCAGGAACCGAACCCGGGACTCTGGTCCGCAGGCCAACGCTCTAACCGCTGAGCCAAACCGGCCAGGGCTTATTTCAGTTTTTGGCAAACAAGTGAGTACTTTGTTATAAGTATACGCAAGCTTCCATATAGGCAAACATACCATGAAGGGAAGGCCAAGATGATGCTCTTGGTCTTTTAGGAGCCAAGGAAACACCGCGAGAGAAGACGACTAGTCACAGAAACCAACTAAACCAAATTAGTATCCAATGTCATTTGTGCTCATTCAAACCAATCACAAAACCATTTATACCATTTGCCCTTTGTAATGTGTCCTAGGGCCAAGTCCAAGGGCCAGAGAGGACCCAGAAGCAAGGGTATTTGCTCAAGACCAATCTCAGCAAGGAGGCAAGGACCCTGGTGACTGAGCAAACTCTCAAGTTCTCATTTCTCAGGGGAGGACTTAATATACTGGGTTCTTTTTGTTCCAGAGAATAAATACTATTTCCAAGCAGCATTATCTTCCTGTAAAGTACAGCTCTGTAAAATACCTGGCAAACAACCAACATAACAATCGAAGGAAGGGGTTTCTTAAAGTGTTTGCAAGCTGAGGAAGAGCTCCTAGAGACTTTTTGGATAGAGAACTCTGAAGACTGAATTGAGGTGTGACATCTATTTCGATCTCTGAGGTGTGTAACTGGCCTCAGTAACAGTCGTACTTTTCCCTACCTGCATTGTGCTTTGCCAAGTATTTGTCTTTGTACTGCTTCTTTTTCTTGCCAAACCAAGTACAGCTGGCCTGCTGCTCCTGTTTGGTCTTCTCCATGGCAATGCAAGCTACTCGCCTAGCACACAAAGAAAGACAGAGAAAAACACAAATGTACAGTTTTATATCGATAGAAGAGAAAAATCACTGATTTGAAGAATTTACATGAACCTGCATGAACATACTCCTCACAACTTTTTCAAGTCATTCAGATAAAGCTTGTTCTGTGGCTTTCACGACAATTTCCTAGAAATGTTGTAAAAACACAGGCTTAAACTAAAACGACATAGTCTTCCTTGAGCATATACTAACGGATAACACAGACGAGAAGCCTAAACATATGGTCATGACATACAGTGGGAAGAGCATGGGATTTTGAGTTGACACAGATCTGGTTTGACTATCATTAGCTTTTATCGACTCAGTGTTAGGTGCGTTTCTGGGACATTTACAAGTATTAAGTCATTTAATCTTTTTTTTTATTTTTTATCCTCACCCGAGGACATTTTTCCATTCATTGTTCAGAGAGAGTAGGAGGGAGAGAGAGGAAGAGAGAGAGAGAAAAACATCGACGTGAAAGGGACACATCGAGTGGCCGCCAACCGCACGACCAACCAGGGCCGGGGACAAACTGCAACCGAGGTACGTGTCCTTAGCGGGAATCGAACCCGGGTTTCTCTGGACCACAGGCCGACACTCTAACCGCTGAGCCAAACCAGTCAGGGCAAGTCATTTAATCTTTTTAAACACATAAAATTGTATCACCACTTTACAGATGCAGGGTTAAGTGATTTGCCCCATCCTCTTAGCCGGTACAGTCTATTGGCAAGTTCCTTAACCTCTTAGAGCTTTTTGGATGGATTAGAACAAAAAATGCCAACAATGTCCCCAGCACAGTGGCAAACACAGTAGATGCTTAATAAATGGTATTATTACTACACAGCGATCCTAGTCTAAGATAGAAAAAAAAATGCTATGATTAAATCCAGTTAGAATTATAAGTAGAAAACTATAATTTTGTTCTGCATGATTATAATATTCACCATTAGTAACATATACACAAATGTTTAAAAGTTGATTTCTAAGCAAATACTTGTGTGATATTCCCATAGAAGGTTTTAATTCCTTATTTTGCTTGTGGACCAACTAGGGGTCCCTGAGCGAGCCACATATAAGGAGAATGCAAAATCCTATCAGGATGCCATACAATGCTACTGAAAACAAGTTATTTTCCAATGAGGTTGTACTGATTAACACTCCCACCAGCAGTTGTATGAGAGTTCCTATTGTTCCACTTTCTTGACAATACTTGGTATTATCAGTCTTTAATTTTAGCCATCATGGTGGGCGAGTAATGGAGTAACAGTGATTTTTGTTTTTTTAATCCTCACCCGAGGACATTTCCCCCCCATTTATCTTCAGATAGAGCGGGAGGGAGAGAGGGAGGAAGAGAGAGAGACACATTGATGTGAGAGAGACACATTGACTAGCCGCCACCCACACGACCCCAACCAGGGCCGGGGACAAACCACAACTGAGGTACGTGCCCTTAGCAGGAACCGAACCTGGGTCTCTCTGGTCCGGGCCGATGCTCTAACCCTCTAACCACTGAGCAAAACTGGTGAGGACATAATGTTGTGTTTTAAGTATGCATTTCACTGATTATTAATGAGACTGAGCATCTTCTCATGTTTATTGACCACTGGCTTTCCTCTTTTGTAAAGTGCCTGTTCAAGTCTTTCCAATCCAGTTTGTCTTTTTGCTTTGCAGGAATTTATGTGGCCTGGATATTACACCTTTGTTAGTTATACATGTTGCAGATATTTTCTTCCACTAGGTGGCTTGCTTTTTTTATCCTTTTTTTTTTTATGGTATCCTTTGATAAATATAACTTATTAATTTTAACTTAGTCAAATTTAGCAATCTTTTCTTTTATGGGAAGTATTTTTGATATCTTGTTAAAAAGATCTTTGTCCCTGAAGTTTTACTCCAATATTACCTTCTCAAGGGTTTATAGTTTTGTCTCACATTTTGGTTTTTAATACATTGGGACTGATTTTTGTGTATGGTGTGAAGTTAGGGTTGATTGTCTTTCTTGTCCACCCCCCACCATGGATACCCAATTATCCCAGCATTACTTATAGAAAAGTCTATTCATTCCTCGCTAGTGATTATTTATATATGAGAGTATTTTGGTGTTCTCTTTAATTGGTCTATTTGAGCATCTCTATTCCCATACCTTAGTAACTTAATCTCTACAGATTTATAAGTTTTGGTATCAGGTGGAGTAAGACCTCCCTCCTTATTCTTCTGTGAGAGCATCTTGGCTATTCCTGAGTCTGTGCATATCCATGAGAACTTTATAATTAGCCTATCAATTTCAAAATAGTTGGGATTTTGGTTGGGATTGCACTGAATCTATGATTCCCTCAGTGAGGAATAGACATGTTTACAATATTGAGTCTTCCAGTCCTTGAATACAGTATGTCTCTCCACTTATTTGGGTCTTCTTTAATGTCTCAATACATTTTATAATTGACCCTGTAAATGTCTTGAACATCTTTGCTAGTTTTGTTCCTAGGCTGTTTATTTATTTATTTTATTTTTTTATTTTTTATCCTCATTCGAGGACATTTTTCCATTTTTTGTACAGACAGAGTGGGAGGGAGAGAGAGGAAGAGAGAGAGAGGGAAACATCGACGTGAAGGGACACATCGAGTGGCTGCCACCCGCACGACCAATCAGGGCCGGGGACAAACTGCAATCGAGGTACATGCCGTTAGCGGGAACTGAACCCGGGTCTCTCCGGACCACAGGCGGACGCTCTAACCGCTGAGCCAAACCGGCCAGGGCTAGGCTGTTCATTTAAAAGAAGGGTTTTATAAATGGTATTTAAAAAATGGTGTAATATTGAAAATTTCAAACATACACAAAAGTAGAGAATACTGTAATGAACCCCAAATACCTAAAATCCAGCTTCAACACTTATTAACTCATGGATTATTTTGTTTTATTTACAACCTACCCACCCCAGATTATTTTGAAACAAATATAAGTTGGTATTATTTCCTCCTTAAACAGTTTTAAATTTCCTTTAAATCTACAGGTTCCGTCTCCCTCCCTCTCTTCTTTTTCTTCTTGCAATTTATTTGTTGCAGAAACTGGGTGTTTGTCCTGTAGTTTCCAAGTCTAGATTTTCCTGATTTCATCTCTGTGGTGTCTTCAGTAAATCCCTCTGTCTTTTGCATTTCCTGCAAATAGGTAATTAGATCAAGAGGCCTGATCAAATTTAAGTTCTATATTTTTTGCAAGAATGCTTTATAATATTATGGTTTTGCAGGTGGTGCTATGTATGGTATGTTAAATTTTTTTGTTTTCTGTTTGTTGCTGGTGAATAGGCATATAATTGATTTCTGTATGTTGATTTTATACCAGTCATCTTGTTAATATTGTCATATTAGGTCTAATTGTTTATCTATAAACTCCTTTGGATTTCTACACACAGAATCACATCAACTGCAATATTTTTTTTCCTTTCCAATGTTTGCTGTAGGTTTATTGTGGAAGGTTAAAGAAGGTCCCTTTAATTGACAGTGTGTGAGAGTTTTAATTGTGAGTGGGTGTTGAATTTTATCAAATGTTTTTTCTGTATCTATTGATATAATCAGGTGGATTTTCTTCTTTAGCCCATTAATATGGAGGGTTGGGTTGACTAGTTTTCTTTCTTTCTTTTTTTTTTTAATCCTCACCCGGGGACATTTTTCCATTATTTGTTCAGATAGAGTGGGAGGGATAGAGAGGGAAAGAGAGAGAGAGAGAAACATCAACGTGAAAGGGGCACATCGAGTGGCTGCCACCCGCACGACCCAACCAGGGCCGGGGACAAACTGCAACCGAGGTACATGGCCTTAGCAGAAACTGAACCCAGGATTCTCTGGTCCACAGTCCGCCGGCCAGGGCGGGTTGACTAGTTTTCAAATGTTGAATCAGCCATGCATTCCCAGTACAAATTCCATTGGATCAAAATATATTATCCTTTAAAATACTTATTGATTTAATTTGCTAATATTTTGCTGAGAATTTTTACATCTATGTTCATGAGGAACACTGGTCTGTAGTTTTCTTTACTTAAATTGCCTTTATTGAATTTTAGTATCAGGGGATGCTGGCATCATGAGATGAGTGTTCTCTTCTGTTTTCTTTTTTTTTTTTTTTAATCCTCATCCGAGGACATTTTTTGTACAGATAGAGTGGGAGGGAGAGAGAGAGAGAAACATCGACGTGAAGGGACACATCGAGTGGCTGCCACCCGCACGACCAGCCAGGGCCGGGGACAAACTGCAACCGAAGTACGTGCCCTTAGCGGGAACCGAACCCAGGTCTCTCCGGACCGCAGGCCGACGCTCTAACCGCTGAGCCAAACTGGCCAGGGCTCTCTTCTGTTTTCTTAAAAAAAAAATAGTTTATTGATTTTCAGAGAGAGCGAGAGGAAGGGAGAAGACAGAACCATCGATGTGAGAGAGAAACATTGATTGGCTGCCTCCTGCATGCACCACACTGGGAATTGAGCCTGAAACCTGGGCATGTGCCCTGACCTAGAATCGAATTTGGAACCTTTGGGTGCACGGAATGATGACCCACCAACTGAGTCACACTGGCCAGGGCCTCTTCTGTTTTCTTGAATAGAATATTCTTCATGTCTCTTACTCTCTCTTGTTCATTGACCGTTTTATTTTTATTTCTTTTTTAAAAATGTTTTTATCGATTTTTTAGGGAGAGAGAAAAGGAGAGAGAGAGATAAAAACATCGATGAGAAAGAAACATCAATAGGCTGCCTCTTGCACGCCCTGTACTGGGGATCAAGCCCACAACCTGGGCATGTGCCCTGACCAGGAATCGAACTGGGACCTCTCAGTCCATGGGATGATGCTCAATCCACCGAGCCACACCAGCCGGGCAGTTTTTCTTTCTTTCTTTATTTTAGGTTAGGAGAAAGACATTTGTTGGGGAATACCGTGAACTCTCAGCAACAGCATCAAAGTCAATCTCCATATATTACCCGGGTGGAATACAGAGGTGGCTGATAAAGCCTTTGCTTTAGGAATTCTTCCAGTAAAAGTCAGTATATGCTGTTAGTCATAACTACAGCTTCTGTGAGGCATAGAATCTTTGGAAACATAAACAGAACTGAGGAGGTTAAAAGAAACAAAATCCTGACCATGTGAAGTTTATGTTATAGTACGCAGAGTATCTTATAATAAATGCTTTTATGTTTAAAAAATAAAAACAAAAAGTTCCCAGTAAAAATTTATGGTGTGGCCATATGCAGTGTAGTGACAGAGGAATAAAATGGAATTTTTACCAGCCACTTAGGAAATGAATGTTATTTTTTTTAGCTCAGTAAGTGGAGGGAAACAGGATTTAGGTCAACCTGGAGAGAAATTTCAAACAAGTTTAACATGTATTGGTAAGGCAAGGGTAGGGACGACAGACTCAGGGACTCATAGCAAAGAAACAGAATGATGAGCCTTGTCAAGCAAGATGAAATTTAACAAGGATAAATAAAGTAAGCATTTGGGTTAAAAAAAAAAAAAGAGGAGTTCTCATCTATAGGATGTGAAAAATGTCAGCTGATAGCAACATACTAAAAAATTTTTTTTCTTTATTGATTTTAGAGAAGGAGGAAGTGAGAGGGAGAGAAAGAAACATCGATGAGAGAGAACATCGATTGGCCGCCTCCTGCATGCCCCACACTGGGGATCGGGTCCACAACCTGGGCAAGTGTCCTGAATGGGAATCGAACTGGCGACCTGTTGGTGCACTGATCCACACCACAGGGTGGCTATAGATTAGTTTTGCATTTTGTGCAATTTCATGTAAATGGGATCATATAGTTCGTTCTCTTTTTTTGCCTGAAAATTCAGCATAATGACTGAGTTTTATCCATATTGTTTTGTGTATGAATATTTCATTCATTTTAACAGCTTAATAGCATCCCATTGTCTGGATATATAATTTATTTATCCATTTACTTGTTGATGAAAACTTTAAAAAATTTAAGCCATTTTAATAGGTGTGTGGCCACTGAGTTTTGTTGCTACATTTTTTCTTGGAAGTTCCTTTGGGTTCTTTTTCAAATGTGCTATGCCATTAAAAATTTTCCTATTCTCCGAAGATATTTTTTCAAGCTTATTATTGATTTTTAAAACCTTCTAAAAAGCACAGTTGTTTAAAAATCTTTGTCTCCTAATTCCAACTATGTGAAGCGAATTTGGGTTTGTTTCTACTGTCATTTTAGGTGGGACTCTCTCTGTATGCCTGGTTATTTTGAGTTGTTGGCCACTGCCTTGGATAAAGTATATGTGGGGGATTAGGAGGAGCTCTAACATGAGGCCTAAGATAAAAGTGTTCTTGTGAGACTATGTTTTTGTTTCTAATAGATATTTGGAACTATTCACAAAGGGGAAACCTCAAATCAAGCGCATGACTAGAGTTTTCCTGGCTGTCCCAGGCTTCGTGTCCCTGGGTGTAAATCCATTCAAGGTGGACCAGTGGCCCCACTTTTTGTTCTCCTTTTACTGTTATCTCTTGCTTTGCACAGTGACAAAGCAGCCTTCTCTCCGGTGAACTAGTGCTGAAGGGCAGTAAGGGCATGCTTACCGGCTCGCTCTTAACCTGGGGCATAGCCCTTTGCAGGGCTAACAATGTGGAAAGGTCTCCCAACAGACTCCCCTGCTGGTACGGGTCTGGAGTCTTAACCTTGGTCCTCTGGCAGAGAGGTTTTCAGCGACAGAAATGCCTTCCTGGCAAAATGGGCCAATTTGGTACTTTAATTTTTATTGCTCCAATTAATGGCTTTCATAGAAAAATTGGTCGCTGAGTTCTCCAACACCTTTTCAGCTACTCAATGCTTTTAAGATGATTTTCAAAAGCACATTTTCGGCAGCACTTTTCTTTTTATTCAGCAAAATTGATTCCAATAACCTAGTTCGCCATTATAGGAAATAGGAAGCAAACTTGCTTTTTCCACTGCAATTGCTCAGGATTGCTCCGGAGGATTTGGAGTTTTCGGTATCGATGAAGCATGATTTCTACAAATGATCTGACTAGGCAGAAGAGGTCTGGGATCTACATAACTGTTTTCAGTAAATGCTCATAATATATGGTAATATTCAAGAATACATTTTCTAAAACACAAATATCAGTAGTAATATATATCAGTAATAACATAATAACGTCATCATCATCAAAAGGACTCCTCCCGCTAATGCTTAAACTGTTTCCTGAAGATCGAACTGGAGGACAATCCCAAGTGGAAGGCTGTTACTTCCTCCACCTACAAATCCTCATGTAAAATGATGGTATCTGAAGTTCTTACCAGCTCTAACACTCTAAATTTAAGAATATTTTTGGGAAACATGGGATAACTGAAAGAGGCAATCAAATGAAAGTGATTAACAGAAATCCCTTTAATTAGTGAGAAAGATGCGTGAAAAGGGGGTTATAAATATCTATGAGCTCAATGCCTTTCATCTCTTTTTCTCTAGGTTCAAGTATTATGGGAGGACTGGTATAATGCCTAATGGTTATTTCTTGTCACAGGAAACAAAACTCAGACATAAAGTTATCGTTTTTGCACTGGATTTCTTTCTTTTTTTAATCCTCACCCGAGAACATTTTCCCATTTTTTGTTCAGATAGAGTGGGAGGGAGAGAGAGGAAGAGAGAGAGAGAAACATCGACGTGAAAGGGACACATCGAGTGGCTGCCACCCACACGACCAACCAGGGCCGGGACAAACCGCAACCGAGGTACATGCCCTCAGCGGGAACTGAACCCGGGTCTCTCTGGACCGCAGGCCGACGCTCTAACCGCTGAGCCAAACCGGCCAGGGCTGCACTGGATTTCTGATAGGTTGTCAAAGGACCAACAAAGAGGTAAAACCATCAACATTTAAAAAAAAAAAAAAGTTCAACTAAGCAAACTGTAACAATAACAGCAGAAATAGATTTTACCAAGATACACAGTAATCTGTGACTCCTCTCAGTTAAAACTAGTGTCTAAAAACTGTCTGACTTTAACCTGCTTTCAAAGCTCAAACTGTCTAACAGACATACATTTAAAGACCTGGCAAGGTAAGGAACAAAGCATCTGACCACCTTTTTCTTCTAACAGTGAAACACATTTTATCTTCAAATACCCTGAGTGACACTGAATCAGGGCATTTGAGTTTTTTTGCTGGTGGTGGAATGGAATAGCGGTGGTGAGAGCAGGGGCAAGGAGAGGGACATTAAAAAAATGCAATTCTGCCCTGGCCTGTTTGGCTCAGCGGTTAGAGTGTCCACCTGCGGTCCTGAGAGACCCGGGTTCGGTTCCCGCTAAGGGCACGTACCTCGGTTGCAGTTTGTCCCCGGCCCTGGTTGGTCGTGCTGGTGGCAGCCACTCGATGTGTCCCTTTCACGTCGATGTTTCTCTCTCTCTCTCTGTTCCTCTCTCTCCCTCCCACTCTACCTGAACAAAAAAATGGGAAAATGTCCTCAGGTGAAGATAAAAAAAAAAAAAGCAATTCTAACAGGATAGAAACAGCATATAGGAATGCAGGGCTCTGCTAAGAGACCACAATGTGACAGACACCTGAGGCTAGTCACTCAACTTCGCTCTAGACCTTCTCCTGCTCTGTAAAACAAACACCTGACTGTGCAAGTAGGGGCTCGCCAGGTGCTGAGGATTGAGAATCTTGGATGACTACCTTGAATTTTGTTTGGCTAGTAGAGCAAGGAATAGATTAAACAGGTTTTATATTACAAAACAAGAATATAAAGTTGAAAAATGGATGCTGGGCAGGGTTTCATTTTTATTATAAAACAAAACAAGTAAAACATACCATTCCTGAAGTTCAGGAGAAGGAATGAGACCTGCAGTTCCATTTTTGGAGTTTTCCAGTTTACCCTGCCACCAGTTGTGATCATCCTTACTAATAATCTGGATAATGTCACCAACTCTGAATCGAATGCCAGCTTCCTTGCAGGGGATGAGGTCATCCTTGGCGGGATCATATTCAAATTGTGCTCTTACATAGATCTATAAAACAAGAGTTTGTAAGAAGGGATGCCATGGTGATGTGAAAGAAAACAGTGCTAACCTAATAGGCACATACCGACAGTTACAGTACAAACAGGACATTAGATGGTGAAAACAAAAGTGATGCATGGAAATACAACACACACACACAAAACACGGCTATAACTAGAAACAATATTATTTTGGATGTGTACAGGTTTAAATCTTTGCTGTTTTTATTTGGAGTGAACACTTAAGATACTTGTTGATTAAAACGAAAGACTTAATTTCAGCTTTTACTATAACAGAATCAGCCTATAGTTATAGAGGCGTATGCTTACCATTTTAAGATCTGCTTATGTTTGTTTAGTTGATGTTATGAATAAGCTGCCATGATCATGTAGCAGCCTTTAAGCCATGAACGCGAGCATTCATGGTAGGTTTTAACTAAAGCAGCACATGGAACAAAACTAGCAAGAACACTGTGTTGGTGTCTTGCTGTAAAATGCCTACATGCCAACTGGCAGTGTGTCTACACACTGCTGATAGACAAATACAATTTAAACACTTTATAAAAGCATTTAAAAATACCTTTATTTTTATAAAAGGATTTAGGCTTTCTATTTGTATTTTACTCCCCTTAGAGAAGAAAAATGAAAGTGAATCCTAGCTTTGCAAATCAGCAGAGTTCAAAGCTTAGAGTTTTATGATATGTAAATGTGATTACTAAGTATTATAAAAGGAAACTGACTAGCATATGAGGGGTTATCATATGGCAGCATTTTATGAATTACTGGATTTCTAAATGCTTTAAAATAAGGTGCTATGTATAAAATGCTGCATCACTTACTCAGTCTTAATGCTAAACTGTGGGTGAATTCTACCAGGTGCTAATTTATGCCAATCTTAAGCTTAAATCTGATTATTTTTTAATACCACATTTCAAGAAAAAGCCCATAAAAATTCTATCTCTTGAAATTAAATTTGAAGATTGATGTTTAAGTCACTGTAAAACCAACCTGAAGGCTTTGCAACTATTGTTTAATTATTCTGTTTAAGTTTCTTTTCAGAAATTCAGCCTATAAAATCAACAAGTCTGTACACGTGCACCTAAAATCCATACTTTGAAGGAGCTGGCACATTGAAAGTTACTTGCCAGTGTTAGGCAGCACGTAACATTTCATGTTGGACTAACAGAGGCATATGAAGATGTGAAGCCAGGATATTTATGTCCTTATATTTCACTGCAAATGGCTTTTAGAAATATACACGCAAATGCAAATTAGGAAAAAGCCTTCAAATTTCAGAAAATTATTGCTTAAGAATGTTCATCAGCATGTATATTTTAGTTATTCTTAGAACTCGAAGAATTTTGTAACCTTTAAATTTTTTTTTTCCACCCCAGCCAAAGCCAGGCCTGTAAGACCCCCCACAAAGGCTGAATTCTTAATTATTGACACAATTATCAGGTTGAAATTACAATAACCATCATAGCTACAAGGATGTGAGGGGGAAAATCTTTATAGAGAATTAGTCATGTTTAATGTGTTAAAATGAAATGGTACAAGCTCTCAATGCTCAAATGTTATGGTCCAAAATGCAGACATTATGGGATGGAAAGGGTTAATAAAGGATTGGCTATTAGCAGCTCAGTTTAGAGAAGTTTCTATAGAGGATATCTATTCACCTGTCGTCCTTTTGGTTGGGTAGTTGATGGCAAGTCCTGTAGAATAAAGCCAACCCAGGAGAAAAATTTTCATTTACTTTTCAAGAGTACAAGGTAATTTGTGTGTTCTGTTACAATATGGTTAAAAAAAATTAGCTAGATTTAAGTTGTAAAGAGATAATATACATTATTCCATTTCTCAGAAATGTTGAATTATTAAAAAAAAAAAAAAATCAGACCCAGGCCATTTAGCAGCAAGCTGAAGAAAGCAGGTAAGTTTAAGCAGAGAGAAAATGTGTTCTTAAGAAACAACTCAGCATCTTCAACACAAAAGCCACTGCGAGTGAAACAGCCCTATTAAAAAAAAAAAAAACACAAACAAAAAAACCCTAACCAAAAAGAGCTGTTGTCCTTTTCAACTTAGTCACTGTAACCATTTAGATTTTGAAAAATTTGATGGCTATATGGATTTTCACCATCTTAAAAATATTAAATGTTAACTGTTATAATGAATTCCTTTATAGCCTATTTGAAGTTGAAAATAACAGTCATAGGAAATTTTTCTTCCATAATTTCACTTACTGATATCATTCCATTTGAGATGGTTTCTACATTATTTAACATTTTACCTGATAAAAAAGTTGATATATTCTTAAAGGGCAAATTAATAATCAGAAAAATGCGATACTGCTGCATTATCAGAACTCTCAATAATTTTAACAGCAATATCAGCAACTTGGAGAAGATTTAGTTATCCCAAAATATCGCATACTTGCACCTATATGTGCTTCCATTTGTTTAAATTAAACTAAAAAGTTCTTGTTATATTTCAAAATGGATAGTTCTGAAAAAAAAAATTCCAAGTTCAAGTCAAAATATAAAGTACTTTGTGTTAAAGATGTGATAACAGCGTGGCTTGAGTGCAGTTTGAAGCCAGTTCCTTTTGCTTTTCATATCCAGGCAAGGTTTATAATTCACAAAAATATGTGCACGTACCACAAAAACAGAGGGCACACCAATTCGTAAACTTAGATAGCGGAAACTAAAACACGTTGCTGATATCACTCAGAATAGACAACTACAAAGCCCAAGAAGACCCAAATGCCTATGTTGCAAGATCTGTACATTTCTTTCTCCTTCTCGAGTTAAAAAAATATTCAGAAATTTCAACAAATTTCCATTTATATCCTTTGCATAAGTTTGAGCAAAGGCACAAATACTAGCGGGGTGACACAGAAATATTTTGAGAATGACCAAAGCAGTCTTGAACTACATTTCTTCAAATTTACCTAATAGAAGGGATTTTTATTGAGAAGAAAATGTTAAAAAAGGTTTTCCAGGAGTAAACTGCATTGTAGCTGTAGTAGCCTCGTATATCGGCAGAAGGACAATATTTCCACTGAACACGGAACTAGAACACTCATGGCAGGTGGCACCAACAAAATTGTCACACTTTGCCGTGTGAAGCTAGAGTTCTTACCGAAACAGAATTGTTAGTGCTGCTATGACCATTAGCTGGGGACTGTCTGGAAGTGGAGGGGGAATCTCTCTGAAATAAGACACAAGGTTCATTAACACAGAACACCAGCACAGAAACAGAGATATTCACATCAACAGTTACAACCACAATCTCACAACCATTTCCTTTGAGGTTTTGGCTGCAAAGGTGCCATACTGACTTACTTGCATGATTTCACAGAAGTAAGAAAAAAACTTTGCAGTTTAAAGATTCACATACTGTAAGTGATGACGATGTCATTCATTAACCATTTCTTTCCTGTCTCCAACATTCTCTAACCTTTTTTTTTTCTTAAATGAGACCCAGAAGAGTGACTCCATATTTAAATCCTATCTAGTGCTGTACAATGACAAATATTACTATAAAATTATTGTATTGAAGATTCCATGTCTAATTTTTTTTATTAAAAATTAGGTTTAAAATGTATTTAGTAATTTTTAGGTACCTCACTGTCAAAAATTACTGAATGACTTCATTTGAAGGGAAACTAACCAAAACAAAAACAAAAACAAAAACAAATCGGCTTCTCTTGTAATTACCTTGGGATCTTTCTAGGACAAATATCACAAATCAGAATAAAAAAGATATACTCCAGAGAAGAAAGCTTTATTCTTTAGATAATTTTAGTAGACTTATTAAAACGATAATCTTGAGCCTCTGAAAATATTACACTTCTGGCAAAGATTCTCCGGAGCCACAACCCTAAATCCTCAACTGCACTTTCTTTTTTTTTTTTTTTTTTAATCCTCACCCGAGGATATTTTTTTTGTACAGATAGAGTGGGAGGGAGAGAGAGGAAGGAGAGAGAGAGAGAAACATCGACGTGAAGGGACACATCGAGCGGCTGCCACCCACACGACCAACCAGGGCCGGGGACAAACTGCAACCGAAGTACGTGCCCCTAGCGGGAACCAAACCCGGGTCTCTCCGGACCACAGGCCGACGCTCTAACCGCTGAGCCAAACTGGCCAGGGCGCACTTTCTATACTTTAGGACACAAACTCCTTTCTAGGTTCTATTCCCTTCTTGTCCAAATCTATTTTAATGGTAAGACCAAGGAGAGGAAGAAAAGTAAGTGTTTACAAGATTTTGGTTTAGTATAGTTCTTTGAAACCTTTGAAATATACATGCCTGTTCAAAAGACACGTTACCCTGCCTATGGCCTAGAAGATTTAGAGAAAACTTCTGGACCTCATTAGCCTTTTAAATAATGGGATCCCTTAGAGGAGCCTTCTCAAACTTTTGTGAGCAGACTGATCTCTAGGTACCACCTGCACAGACTCCAGTCAGTAGGGTCAGGGTGAGGGGCTCCTTTACCAAGGGCCAGGGGGATGCTGATGCAGGTGGCCAGAGAGCCTTCCCTTGGGAAATACTGCCCCAGCTGGGAAAAGTCCAACCACAGGCTTGAATTCTGCCAGAGCAAAGGAGGTCAAACAGGTTGGGAGTGGGGCTGGGAGGGGACTATCATTTTTCTTACTATTCAGAGGTAAAAGAAGGTAAGAGGGGGGCTCTTCTTACTCAAGAGTGTAGAATTTGCATGTATAATACTGGTCTCACCCAAAACTAGTTTGGCCACTTAAAAAACACAAGAGAAACTTATGTTATATTAACAACTAACAGTATCTTCTGGTTCATTAGGCCAAAAAAAAAAAAAAGACAAAAATCAATCATATTTACTAAATTTCTTCAATGATGAGAAATGGTCTGAGGATCATCAGTGACTTTAAAATATTAAAATACTTTATACATAAAATATATGTGTGACATTCTCTCTTTCCAAGCAAGGCTTGTGTTCTAGGAAATAAATTTCAAAACTACAAATCCTGGAGCAGTAATAGTTCTGCATTTTCTTTTAAAACACAGTATTAATTGAAGTTCCATAAAAAGCCACCGAGAGGAGCTCAAGACCTGATATAAACAGAAACCCCAACTGTCATGGCTCTCTAAAAATATACTTGACAAAACTACAAATTCTTTTTTTTTTTTTTTTAATCCTCACCCGAGGATATTTTTTCCATTTTTTTGTACAGATAGAGTGGGAGGGAGGGAGAGGAAGGGAGAGAGAGAGAGAAACATTGACGTGAAGGGACACATCAAGTGGCTGCCACCCGCACGACCAACCAAGGCCGGGGACAAACTGCAACCAAAGTACGTGCCCTTAGCGGGAACCGAACCCGGGTCTCTCTGGACCGCAGGCTGACGCTCTAACCGCTGAGCCAAACTGGCCAGGGCGACAAAACTACAAATTCTTATGCATATCTTCAGTAGGTTTAGAGAAACACAGGAAGCCTCTGATTTGTCTTGTGAAATTTATAGCATTGCTAGAGAATGGAAGAAGCATTATAATTTCTCCTTCAACTTCTCCTATGTACAAATTCAATTTTCTAGATGAGTTCCAATAAGTTACCTGTCAGTCTTAAAAATTAAGTGTAGGAAATGTGTGCTTCATATTGATGTACAATACTTGAGAGATGCACATGAAAGAATTGGCTTAAAAAATAATACTCCAGCTGAATGTGCAATGACTAAAGGATGGTGCCATTATGCCGGTTTGTATTTCCAAATATAAAAAGAATAGATTTTTGAATCTCAATGAATAACCAACATAAAACTAAATAGCATAGGTTGAAAAAGGGACAATTTCTATAGGATAAGCCTTTTTTTTTAAATCCTCACCCGAGAACGTTTTTCAATATTTTGTTCAGATAGAGTGGGAGGGAGAGAGAGAGAGAAACATCGATGTGAAGGGACACATCGAGTGGCTGCCACCCGCGCGACCCAACCAGGGCCGGGGACAAACTGCAACCGAGGTACGTGCCCTTAGCGGGAACCGAACCTGGGTCTCTCCGGACCGGAGGCCAACGCTCTAACTGCTGAGCCAAACCGGCCAGGGCAGGATAAGCCTTTTGTAAGAAAGAAACTTTGGGGTTGTACTCTAGAAAACTTGTTTATGAATCACATAACATTCTAAGTTTAAACAATTTCACAAGAAGTTGAAAAAGCCTATATTCCTCTGATAACGTCAGTTATCAATTCCTCACGGACTTCACCTCCGTCTAGAGACCTGTCACAGTTATTCAAACAACTTTATCTTGCCAGAGATAGATCATGTCTTAGATTCTTGGAAAGAAGAACTATCTATGCGATTTCTTCACAAGGGGAAGTGAATATACTTCCTGGAAATATTATTGCAATTATGATCTTTAATTTTTTTTCCCTCAGAGACTCTACTTGTTCTTTATTAAGGCTTATGTCATTATTTGTTGCTTCTCTATATTTTACTTCGATTCTGGCCTGCAGAAAGTTAAAGCGCTGGGGAGGTCCCCATGGAAGTAGGGCTGAGTAGGTGGATGGGACCTACTCTGTTCCGTTATCTTTGTTGTAAAATTGGTGTGCAGTGATCAACAGCACAGGCAGAAACAATTTCCCAGAAAGCCAAAACATTCAGCCATGAGCAGACAGTTAGTTAAGAACCCAGAGGAGACAGTGTGTTTCGTTAGAGCTATTACCTCACAGGAGGATGACTGAGTGCGGTAACTTGGCACGATCTTGAAGGTGATACTCCCCCGCATTTCCCGCTGGAGGAAGAAAAAGACAGCTTTCTTAACAGATAAATGTTGCACAAAAAACATGTAAGAAACCACTCAAAACGTGTGAGGACAATTAAATGTAAGCCAGCTGAGGGCACCTGGGCCTAAAACAAAACCGCGTTGTCAAGCAGGGACTGCTCACAGTAACGGTCAAGTTGTTCCCAGGAGAAGCCCTGCAGAGTCAAGGCTGACTGCCTCGGTCATGCGGTGGTGGTTTAACAGACCTCTGACAGTTACCGCTTCTTAGACATGAATACAAAAACTCTGCGTGACACGCCTTTCAAAAGTGAATGAGACTGAACTGGCTAACAGAACAAGTAAATACATCAACATTATATTTGGTAGGCTACATTATGATGGTATACTCCATATAATTTGCTTTTTATGTCATAATTTGACCTTGTTTTTTTCTTGACTGTAGTGAATCTATATCCTTATTTCACACTTACTAGATATTCATAACACAGCTACGTTGTGGTGGGGAGAAGGTCTGGGACCAGAGGCCCAAAACATTTCCCTCTGCTCACCAGGGCCTGTCATTCTGCCCACCTCCCCTACTCGCTTTTTAAAATCCAAAGTGAATCTGAACATAGATTATGGATATGTATGGTCAGAAATGGCCTGGTCTACTATAACTTTCCTCCCCTCTCTGGTGTAGAGAAACCCAATACAGCTGGCTATGACTCAGCTGAGGGGAAAGAGGTTTCTGACACTGCTGATGTCAGCAGAGTTGAGGTCAGTGAGAAACTAGTTCACAGCTATGCACAGCTGGAAAGGTTTTCATTAAACATCTGCTGGATAAAAAAGACAGCAGATAAAGGATGAAAGGAGAGTGGTAAAGCCCACACTGCTAAAGATGGGCAAAACTTTTCCAAACTCTGTGGCATGTAAACATTTTCCTAGTTGTCAGTTTTTATGAATGTTGTGTAAGTTCAAGTCCACACACATGGTGGTATCAGTGATACTCTGATTGCAAAAGAATACCTTTTATTTGCGCCTTAAAAAGAAAGTTAACAAACTGAAAGTCGACCTTAGACAAAGAAAAAGAAACTTATGTACTCACAAGCATTTTTTGCAGCTGTTCCACTGTTTGGTTAGCCACACTGATGCCATTGATTTCTCGAATTTCATCACCGACATGAAGTGTACCTAAGAAATTACAAAAAATTATAAACATAAAAATGATATATACTTTTATAATAATAAAATCCAAAGGCAGCAATGTAAGCAATTAAAAAATTAAGCTAAATATGGAAGGCCAACAGTTCAGAAACAGGTACAAGTTTGACTCATGCAGTAAACTCTAAACACAGATACATCTACTATGGAAGACACAGTTTTAAAAGATGGTTGTAGAAGTCTGTTAAGTTTTCTGAGAGAAGCAGTGTGTATAGTGATTTAAAAGTACAGCTTCTAGATCCAGCCTGCCTGGGTTCAAATCCCAGCTTCATCACTTACTAGCTTTAAGATCTTGGGTAAGTTACTGAAATTCTCCATGTCTCCATTTTCACATTTATAAAGATGAAAATAGTACCTATCTCATAGGACTGTTGTGAGGATTAAAATGAGTTTAATAAATATAGTGGGTTCAGAATGGTTCTTGGAACATAGTAAGTACCATTTAAGTGTTTCCTGTTATTATTGTTATCAATATTATCTACCAAATATAATACAAAGGCTCTTGATTTTCAAAGAATTGTGATATAATAATACATATGTAACACTAAATTTAATTTTTCTTTATTGATTTTAGAGAGAGGAAGGAAGAGGGAGAGAGAGATAGAAACATTGATGAGAGAGAACATCGCCTGGCCGCCTCCTGCATGCCCCCCACTGGGGAACGGGCCCACAACCTGGGCATGTGCCCTGACCGGGAATTGAACCCGCGACCTCTTTGTGCATGGGTTGATGCTCAACCACTGAGCCACAGCAGCCGGCCGGGCATGTAACATTAAATTTAGATATACTACAATCTTTTTATAATAACTTGGTATTTCAGCATCCTGTAATACTTTAACTTGAAAAACTGACCAAGAACCAATGCATAAATAGAATGTTATAAAATTCTGCCTCTTTATTTATAAGTTATGCACATTTGTTTACATACTGACCTGATGTTATGAAAAGCTCACAGTATCTTTTAGAGGCACATTCTAAAATACATATAAATAAAATCAGATGCCTGGGATTTGCTTCAAAATAATCCAGGGGATTGGGTAGTTGGGCAAGTACAGATGAAACCAGTGTGGCCATTAATAAACAATAATTCTAGCTGGATTATGGGTACATGGGCGATCACTAAACTAACCTCTTCACTGTTTGCTCCTTGAACTCATTGCACCGTTCTCTCTACTCACGTTTGAAAATTAACAGAATAATACCCCCCAAATTTGGGGACTTTGGCTTCCAATATGGCTGGTTGGCCACTCAAAAAACTGCTCAAAGCTATATCCTGCCTAGGACACACCTCCTGAAGTGTTACTGGTCTCATAAAAGGAGTGCAACCCCCTACGAACATATCCTGTTTTCATCCCCACCCTCTTCTTCACACAAAAGAACCCTGTGAGCTTGATCCAAAGTGGTGTTAAACAAAGGGTGACATGAAATAGTGGGAAGGGTGAATGCCACAGTAGCAACGCCTGCTAGCTGGATTCTGAGCCTTGGCCTAACATAGTTAGAGAAGCCGTGCCTGGGATTCTGTAGGAAGCCAAGACCCAGATCACTGGCACTCTATTGCAACTGGTACAACAAGGAACAAGCCTCTGGAGGACAGCATACCCAGTTTAGGCCTACAAGGCTTCCACTGATTAGATAAGCAATGAGCTAAAAAAAATCAAAGATCACCAAACATATAATAAGGCAAACTACTATGTGAGCCATAAGAAATAGGAAAAACAGATTTTGATCCTCAAAGAGGATAGATACTGGAATGGTCAGATGCAGAATATTAAATAGCTATATATTAAATACTAGAAACAAGTAAAGGACCCAGTCGCAAGGATGAGAATGCAACACAAGATTACTAGGTGTGAATAGACAGATCTGAAAATAAGGAACAGATCTGAAAATAAGTATAAGACCAAATGTCTACTACTTCCAGAAAAGAAAAATATAACTGGTGATATAAGCCAATAAATGGATGAGTTGAACAGAAGTTCGGATATGGCTGAAGACAGTTTCAGTGAACTGGAAGATATAAATAAATAATCTAGACTGCAGGTCAGAGAAACAACAAAACAAGGAAAACAGGAAACAAGAAATAAAAAAATAAGAAAAAGATATTAAGAGAAACGGAGAGAATGTTTAACATACATCTACCTGGAGTTTAGAAAGAGAACAGAGAGAATGAAGAAAAGGTGATATTTGAAGAAATAATGGTTGCAAATTTTCTTGAACTGATGAAAACATGATTACACAGATCCAGGAAGAATAATGTGTCCCAAACAGGATAAATAGAAATAAATCCATGCTGGGAGGTAGTGCAACTACAGAACATCAAAGACAAGGCTCTTAAAACATCCAGAGAGAAAGGAGATATCACCTAAAAAACAAGGACAATTGTAGTGACATCAGATTTCTCAATATCAAAGAATGGATGTCAAAAGATAACAGAATGGCCCTGGCCAGTTTGGCTCAGCAGTTAGAGTGCTGGCCCACGGATCAATGAGTCAGGGGTTCGATTCTGGTCAAGGGCATGTACCTCAGTTGCGATTCATCCCCAGCCCTGGCTGGGGTTGTGCGGGAAGCAGCCACTTGTTGTGTCCCTTTCATGTGGATGTTTCTCTCTCTCCCTCTGACTCTATCTGAACAAAAGTGGAAAAATGTCCTCGGGTGAGGATAAAAAAAAAAAAAAGATAATAGGATGGTTACTATCAACCTAAATTTGTGCTCTCCGAAAAAGTAATCTCCCATACTGAGGCTGAAGTAAGATATTTACAGATAAACATCACCTAAGAGTGTTTATCAACAAGAGATTAGCACTAAAGGAACTTCTGAGGATGTATTTTAGAAAGAAGGAAAATGCTCCTCAAAGGATGGTCTGAGATACCAGAAGGAATGGTTAACAAATAGTTACAAACATTTATGTAAATCCAAACAAAAATGGTGATATATATTTTAACTTTGCTTCCTCTTTCTGTATAGTCAGTGTAAGAACACACCCTATGGTAAGCACCGGGAGGCCAAAAATGGTGATAAATGTAATAAACATAAATAGAAAGGCAAGATGACAGAAATAATCATAATAAATATTAATGGACTTGCCCATTGAAAGATAGTGATCATCAGAATGCATTAAAAAATGAAAAAACCTAGCTTAGAAAATGTTTGGAAGAGGTATACAAGTATAGAATGGTTCAAAATAAAAGGATGAAAGAAGATATGCTATCAAAAACTAAAATAAAGCTGGAATAACTATATTAATATTAGATAAAATAAATTTTAAGTAGAAAGTATTATTAAGGATAATGCTTACCAGGCACTTCTATTCACCTAATAAATATATAAATCCAAAATGGAGACATCTATAGGTAGAAATAAAAAAAACCCTGGACTATGACAATGAGACATTTTAACAATTATTGAGAGGTCAAACAGACAAAAAATTAGTTAAGATATAGAAGATTTGAACAAAAAAATTAACCCAAGCCAATCATCATATAGAGAACTCTGTATGCAATAAAAAAAATAAGCCTTCTTCTTAAGTACACATGGACCATTTACAAAAATGATTAAAGTGCTACCAGTTTTTAAAAAAAATCCTCGCCTGAAGATATTTTCCCATTTATCTTCAGATAGAGTGGGAGGGAGAGAGAGAGGGACATCAATGTGAGAGAGAAACACTGACTGGTTGCCTCCTGCACGGCCCTGGGCTGGGACCTCACTGCAACTGGAATTGAAACCATGACTCTTTGGTCTGCAGGCTGACACTTTAACTGCTGAGCCAAACTGGCCAGGGCAAAGTGCTACCAATTTTTATCTATTAATCCCTTCACTTTTTTCACCTAGCCCCCAACTCACTTCCCTCTGGCAACCATCAGTCTGATCTTATCATTAAATGTTTATATTGTTATTTATCAAACTCCAAGTTTCTAATTTCTAAGTAGTAGAAACAAACCTCAGTGAAATGGTCTTATATAGACCACATCCTCTGACTACAATGTAATTATGTTAGAAGTAAATTATAAAAAGATATATAGAAAATCCTCTTAAATGTATGTAAGAAATACTTCTAAATAACTTGTGGGTCAACAAAAAATATCACAATAGAAATGTAAAAATACTTAAAACTGAATTACAATAAAAATGCTTAATATCAAAACTGGTGGGGTACAGATAAGAAAGTACTTAGAGGTAGAGTTTAGTATTAAATACATATATTAGAAATGAAGAAAGACTGGAATAAATGAACTAAGTATTAGATAACACCAATAGAAAGAAGATATTAAAAATTAGACTATAAAACAATAAAATAGAAAATAAATATACAATTAAAAGAACCCAAATTGGATTTTGGACAAACCTCTGGCAAAGCCAATCAGGAGAAAAAGGACAAGGCACAAATAAAATATTAGGAATGAATGAGGGGACAATTACAGAGATAGCAGAGAATAAAAGGATAAGAGAATACTATAGGAAAGCTTACTGCAATCATTTTTTAAAATTTAAGATTTTTTAAGAAAAATATAATTTACCAAAACTCACTCAAGATATAGAAAGCCTGAATAGCCTTATGAATGTTAAAGAAATTGAAGCAGTTTTTTTTTTTTTTTCTTTTTATCCTCACCTGAGGATATTTTTCCATTTTTTGTTCAGGTAGAGTGGGAGGGAGAGAGAGGAACAGAGAGAGAGAGAGAGAAACATCAATGTGAAAGGGACACATCGAGTGGCTGCCACCCGCACAACCGACCAGGGCCGGGGACAAACTGCAACCGAAGTACATGCCCTTAGCGGGAACCGAACCCGGGTCTCTCAGGACCGCAGGCCGATGCTCTAACCGCTGAACCAAACCGGCCAGGGCGAAATTGAAGCAGTTGTAAAAAAGAAATCTTTTCTAAAAAAACCCAAATGAAAACAAAACACTAGGCCTGATAGATTTATAGGCACATTCTACTAAACTTTGAAGGTATATATCATTCTAATATTATACAATGTCTTTTGGAGAACTCATGAAGAAAAAAAGGCTCTCAAAGTCATTCTATGATGCCAATGTAACTTTGACACCAAAACCAGACAGAGAAACACAAGGAAGGAAAATTAACTACAGGCCAGTCTCAATCATAATTGTACATATAAAATCCTGAACAACACATTAGCACACAGAATTGAGCAGTACATATAAAAGTTAATACACAATGACTAAGCTGGGTTTATCTGAGAAATGCAAGGGGGCATTTATCATAAGGAAATCTTTAAAAGTCATTTACTACATTAGTAGATAAAAGGAAAATAACCAAATGATCATCTCAACAGATGCAGAAATGGCACTTGATAAAATTCAAAACCCGATCATAATTAAAACGCTCAGCAACTAAGACTATAGAAGAACCTCTTCAGCTCTAATAAAAGGTGTCTTCTAAAAACTCTACAGTAAACGTTGGTCTTCGTGGGGAAACATTGGAAAGATACATTTTAAAAACAAGAATGGGACAAGGATGTCCACTACACTACTTCTATTACAGACGGCAGGTCGTAGCCAGTGCATTCATATAAGAAAAAGAGATGAAAGAAATAATGATATTGTGACTTTACTGAATTTACAGCAAATTATTAATAAACAAAAAATTCATACCGGAATCTAAAACCAAATGTCCTCCTGTGTGAGTGCTGTCCACTCCCTAAGCCTGTAAAGATTCCCCTGAAGGCAGCAGTAATGCCAGACACTACCTGTGTACACAGTGGTCATCTCTAAAGAGGACAAGAAGGCACTAAAATGCTTACAGTGTTGCTTCTTGTTCTCTTGGGTTACGGAAAGAAGGTGTTAAGTACAAAAATAACCCGATATCAAAGAAAGGAAGTCTAATTCTTGGACAGGAGAATGATTTTTGGATTAGACTCTAAGTATTAGTACATATAACACAGCCCTTTCAAAGAGGAGCGTAAATCTACATGTCCAAATCCTGCCCAGGCGAAGGTTAATGAAAAATCCACTTTCTTAAAAAATCATTCTTTGTTCTACTTCCGTTCTTAGTGAATTCCTTCCTCAGAATGACTGTACTTTACTATAGCAGGTATTAAGAACCTAATCATAGATTTATCTTTTATTTTACTACTGAATTTAAAAACATTTTATTTTTCAATTACAGTTTACATTCAATATTATCTTGTATTAGTTTCAGGTGTACAGCGTAGTGGTTAGACAATCATATACTTTACAAAGTAGTCCCTCTGATATTTCAAGTACCCACCTGGCACCGAACATAGTTATTACAATATTACTGACTATATTCCCTGTGCTGTATTTTACATCCCATGACTATTTCGTGACTACAAAAGTGAGGGGTCACCTTTTTCACCCAGTCCCCCAACTCCCCTCCCTTCTGGCAACCATCAGTCCAATCCCACCATTAAATTTTCATGTGATTTATCAAACCCTAATTTCCCAATTTATAAATAGTATAGCTCATTCTTGAATGGATGAGAGGACAATTCTTGAACTGTCATTTAACTTTAAAAATATATATCTTATACTCCAGAATAGATGCCTTCCCTATATCCTGTGGCCCAATAGGGTAACTTTGCTTTATCTTTCATTCTCTCTAATAAGTCAGGATCTAAACGGTGATTCACAGATGCTCCAGCAACAGAACTGTAATACACCCTTCCTCCATTATCTACGGGCTCGAGCATGTGCAGATGAGTAAGAACAAATGGAGGCTAATATTTAGGATAACTTAAATGGATCATTTATTTGTACCATATATTTAACAGATTGTTGTTTTTTTTAATTCCTTATCCAAGGATATTTTTCCATTTATCATCAGATAGAGTGGGAGGGAGGGAGAGAGAGAGAGAGAGAGAGACAGAGAGAAACATCGACGTGACAGAGACACATTGACTGGTTGCCCTCCGCATTACCCGACCAGGGCTGGGGACAAACTGCAACCGAGGTACATGCCCTTGACTGGAATCGAACCTGAGACTCATTGGTCTGCTTGTCAACTCTCTAACCACTGAGCCAAACCGGCCAGGCCTTAATAGATCTTTTATATGGATCATAAAAACACTTTCTCCACTAGGCTACAGGAAAAAAGTTAAGAAAGGAAAAAAAAAATCATGTATGATACTTACCTTGCCTGTGAATCATGCCCCCATGCATAATTCTTGCAACGATACAGTGATTTAGCTCATTCATTTTTAAAGTGATTCCCTGTAAAAAGTTAAGTAAAAATAGAATTACTACGAGATGGCACTTGTTTTTATATTTGTGATTTTGCTGTAGATAATTTTAATTACAAAAGTTAGGAAAACATCAAAGAAAATATGAAAAATGGAAGAGAAAACCATTCATTACTTTACCATGCCATGACAAAGTTATTTTTGGTATTTTGATTGCTATAACAATCGTACACATACATTTTTGTTGTTGTTAAATCCTCACCTGAGGATATTTTCCCACTGATTTTCAGATAGAGCGAAAGGGAGGGGAGAGGAGAGAGAGAAAGAAACATTGATGTTAGAAACACATCAACTGGTTGCCTCCTGCACGACCCCAACCAGGGCCAGGGTTTGAACCTGCAACCCAGGTATGTGTTCTTTACTGGGAATGGAACCAAAGAGCCTTAAGTCTGCAGGCCGATGCTCTAACTGCTGAGCCAAACTGGCTAGGGCTACATACATTATATATAACGCTTTTAATATTCTAATTATATTTTCCATGTTACTTTATTTTTCATGTTGTTAATCATTCTTTAAAAAGTTTTGATTGATGTATAATTGACATACGCTTATTTAAAGTGTACAATTTGATAAGTTTGATGATATATGTCTATATGTGTAAAAACATCACCACAATCAGGAGAGTGAGTATATCCATCATTCCCAAAAGTTTCCTCATGCCTGCTGGTAATCTACTCCCATCCCTCCATCCCCTGCCCCTCAACCCCAAGCAACTACTGATATGCTTTTACTGGCTATAGATTAGTTCATACTTTTAAAAGATTAAATGGATAAAATTCTCATTTTATTTTTAGAATTTTATTTATTTTGAATTGAATTGATTGGGGTTGACACTGGTTCACAAAATCATACAGGTTTCAAGTGTACAACTCAACAAAACATCATCTGCACACTGTACCCACCATGTGTCCATTGCCCAAAGTACAGTTTGGTTGCTCCCCCAACCCCATTTACAATGTGAGATTCAACCACTGTTGCATGTATCAATAGTTCATTGTTTTTTCTGAGTATTCTATTGTATGAGGATATACCATTTTGTTTATCCATTCACCCATTGAATTGTTTGTAGCTTTTGGCTATTATAAATAAAGCTGTATTCCTGGGTTAGTCTCCACTTGGTTATGATGTATTCTTTTTCATTTAAGATGTGGGTTTGTTCATTAGATTCCACATATTCGTGAAATCATATGGTACTTATCTTTCTCTTACTGGCTTATTTCACTTAGCATAATGCTCTCCAGGTCCATCCATACTGTTGCAAAGGGTAAGATTTCCTTTGCACAGATGATGTGTTGTGGAATTCTGTACCTGGAACTTGTAAAATTTTGTTAACCAGTGTCACCCTAATAAATTCAATAAATAGGAAAAAAAGATATGGATTTGTTTAGAATTTTTGCAACTATATTAAAGAGTGTTAGTGGTCTGTAGTTTTCTTGTAATGTCTGTATCTGGTTTGGGTAATCAGTGTAATTAATGTTAGCCTAATAATAATAATAATAAATAAGTTGGGAAGAATTCCTTCCTCTTCAATGTTTTTGGAAGAGTTCGTGTAGAATTGGTATTATTTCTTCATTATGTTTGGTAGAATTCACCAGTGAAACAATTTTGCCTAGAGTTTTCTTTGAGGCATGGTTTTTAACTACAAATTCAATTTTTAAATAGTACAGAGTGATTCACTTTATTCCTTAAATGAGCTTTGATAGTTTCTGTCTTCCAAGGAATTTATCCATTTCATCTAAGTTGTTGAATTTATCGGCATGAAATTATCATATTCCCTTATCATCTGTTTTATACCTGTAGAATTTGTAGTAATGTTGCTTCTCTAATGCATAATATTGGTGTCTTTTCCCCCCTGATCAGTCTGATCTCCTCAAAGAAAAAGTTTGTTTCATTGATTTTTCTCAATTGTTATGTTTTCTATTTCACTGATTTCTACTTTGATCTTTATTCCTTATTTTCTTTTACTTACTTTGAGTTTAATTTTTCTTTTGTAGTTGAGGTCATCGATTTAAGACATTTCTTTTTTCTAACATAGATGTTTACTGCTACATATTTCTCCCTAAGTGCTACTTTAGCAGCATACCACCAATCGTGGTATGTTGTGGTTTCATTTTTAATTCACTTCAAAATACCTTTTAATTTCCCTTTTGATTTCTTCTTTGATTGATGGGTTATTTAGAATTGTGTTATTTAGTTTTCAAGTGCTTGGGGATTTTTCCAGAGACCTTTTTGTTCTTCATTTCTAATTCAATCCCAATGTGGTTTGAGAATATACTTAGATATTAATATAGCCATTCAAGCTTCCTTTTGATAAATATCGTCATGGTATATTTTTCCCATCCTTTTACTTTGAAACTATTTGTCTTTATGTATAAAGCATTTCTTAGAGGCAATATTTAACTGGGTCTTGCTGCTGCCCCCCCCATCTGATAATTACTGCTTGTTAATTGGGGGAACTTAGACTATTTACATTTAATATGATTACTGATACAGTTACGTATAAATATATTTACTTGCTATTTGATTTCTATTTGTTCCATCTGTTCTGTGCTCCTTTTTTCTGCTTTCTTTTGGATTAATTTATTTTTATTCTATTTTCTCTCCTGTGTTGTCTTATTAGCTATAATTTTATTTTGTTGTATTAGTGATTGCTTCAGGGTTTATAGCATACATTTTTAACTTATCACAGTCTACCTTCGAGTGACATTACTCCATGTCACAAAGGGTATAAGAACCTTATAACAGTATACTGCCACTTCCTTCCTTTTGACCTTTATGCTACTGTTGTTATACATTTCACGTTTACATATGTTATAAACCCCAAACATATTGCTATTATTATTTTTTCTTTATTGATTTGAGAGAGAGAGGAAAGAAGAGGGAGAGAGAGATAGAAACATCAATGAGAGAGAACATTGATTGGCCGCCTCCTGCATGCCTCCCAATGGGGTTTTGGCCCACAACCTGGGCATGTGCCCTGACCAGGAATTGAACCGGCATGAGTCGATGCTCAACCACTGAGCCACACCGGCCGGGCTCAATCACAGTTTATATTCAATATTATTTTGTATTAGTCTCAGGTGTACAACATAGTGGTTAGATAATCAGATACTTTACAAAGTGTACCCTCCTGATATTTCTAGTACCCACCTGGCACCATACACTATTACATTATTATTGACTAGTAAAATTCTTTTTCTTTCTGTTTTGTTTTGGAAAATTTTTATTGCTATGTCTTTGAATTCACTAATTTCTTCTTTCAAACTATCTAATCTGTCATTAATCCCATAGGAGATTTTTTGCTAATTCGAATATCTTCGTCAGTTCTATGTTGGTTTTGATTGATTATTCTCCACATTATAGGTCACATTTCCCTGCCTCTTAACATGCTTCGTAACCTTTGATTAGATATCAGGTGTTGTAAATTTTATCTTGTTGCATGCTTGGTGTTATTTTATTTTTATGAATATCAAGTTTTTTCTGGGATGTAGTTCAGTTACTTAGAAACAGTTTGATCCGCCCTGGCCGGTTTGGTTCAGCGGTTAGAGCGTCGGCCTGCGGTCCGGAGAGACCTGGGTTCAGTTCCCGCTAAGGGCACGTACTTCGGTTGCAATTTGTCCCCGGCCCTGGTTGGTCGTGCGGGTGGCAGCCACTCGATGTGTCCCTTTCACGTCGATGTTTCTGTCTCTCTCTCCCTTCCTCTCTCTCCCTCCCACTCTATCTGTACAAAAAATGGAAAAATATCCTCGGGTGAGGATAAAAAAAAAGAAAAAAAAAAAAAGAAACAGTTTGATCCTTTGGGCCTTACTTTCATGATTTGTTAGGCAGGTCTGGAGTAATTCTCCATATAGGGCTAATTATTCCTCATTACTGAGGCAAGACCTTCCTGAGCACTCTATACAATGTTCTTCAAATTGGTTTTTCCGGTCTGGTGGGTGGGAACAGGCGGTCAGTATTGGTCACTGTTCTCTCCAATTCTTTTGGATGGTCTTTCCTTAGCTCTGGGTAGTTTCCTCCAATAAATGTGCTGATCAGTATTCAGAATAATACTTGAGGAGGATTCTCTACAGATCTCTGGGTTCTCTCTCTGTGTAGCTCTCTCTTCTTCAGTACTTTCCTATGAGCTTTAGGCGCCTTGGTTTCCCCGGACTTTCAGTTCTGTCTCCACAATTCAGGGCGTCTGCTTGCTTTGCCTCAGTTACCACTCTCTGTGCTGTGGCCTGGAAACTGCCTCAAGTCAGCAAGACTGGACAGTCATAGGGCTCATCTTGTTTACTTCCCGTCTCTTAGGGATCGCTGTCCTTTATTGCCTGATGTCCAATGTCTTGAAAAGTGTTTTTTCGTGTAATTTTGTCTGTTTAAAAATTTATTTTGGTTGTTTCAGGTGAGAGGGTAAATCTGGTCTCTGCTATTCCATTTTGGCCCAGAAGTATAAATTCCACATTTCTAATGCCAGAATACTATTCTGTGGAATAGATTACTTTTGTTTTTTATAATTATTCATCATTATAAGACAAGCTTTCATAGACATATTTTTTTATACTAGACCTGGTTGATTCTAAGACTCACACAGGGGCTTTTTAAATAATACTCATTTTAAAGCTCATTCTTTGGTCTTAGAGTCAGGAAATCTGGAATGGAGCCCAGAAATCTACATTTTAACAAGCACCCTTGGTGGAAACTGATCTTGCATTTGAGATGATTAAGGGCAGGGGAACTGTCTTCTTCACTGGGGAACAGCACTCTGTTAGAAAGCTTCATGAAACTATTTGAGATTTTTATAATCTAGACTGTCTTAATTTGTACAATTCTACAAAATAGAACTTTGCACGATTCCTATTTTGTAGTTTTAGAAGTGGCCCGCAAGGCGCGTTTCATTTCCCACTTACACATTAATCAGCATGTACGGTTACCAAGAGAGGTGATCCTGGGAAAATGTTGTAAATGAATGTGTAAGGCAAATCTAATTTCATAAGGGAAATGATAATATGATGGGGGTTCCATCCTTGAAATTAATAAATCAATGTATTCATTCAGCCAACATTACTGTGAACCTTAATGTGGCAGATATGCTACTAGGCACAGTAGTGAATGAGACAGACAGGTCTCTCATGGCTAGGGTAAGTTTACCTCAAAGCAACTAGAGTTAACATTCATTATTTTGTCTCCCCTAAACATTTCTCTGAAGAAAGAAACTGACTCATGTTCTCGCTGTTCCCAAGTCCCCAAATTCCAGGGAAAAACGGGCCCAGCTTGGGTTGGGTGTCTACTCCTGAACCCACCCCAGCTTGGGGTGAATTCCTGGCCTTTCCTTGTTTCTATAAGCTTTCCCCCTATTGTCTAAGCTAGATCAAGTTTGGTCTTTATCACTTGCAACTAAGGGAGTCCCAGTCAATAGAGAAGTAATTACAAGTGTGATATTACAAATGAGAAAACAGCCTGGCTGGTGTGGCTCAGTGGTTGAGCGTCAACCCATGCACCAAGAGGTTGTCGGTTTGATTCCTGGTCAGGGCACATGCCCAGATTGTGGGCCAAATACCCATAGGGGGCATGCAGGAGACAGCCCATCGATGTGCTCTCTCATCAACGTTTCTCTCTCTCTCCCCCCCGTCCCTTCCCCTCTCTAAAATAAATAAAGAAAAAAAGGTAAAAAAACAAAAACAAATGAGAAAACAAGGGTGTAATGAGCGTATATCATCCTTGAGGGGTGGCCCTAGCAAAGTGGGACACTGTAGAAGTTCTAAAAAGCAAAGAGAGGTCATCATATAGGTATATCTTGTATAGTAATATAATTTTTTAAATAAGACAACTAAGCAAGCAAATGAAACTGTATCAAGTGTAATAGAGAACTATACTCTACTATTAAAAATACATATTTCCCACAAAATAATTCCCATTTTTATGGCAACCAGTCAACAAGAGAAGAAATGCACATACTTTCACTATGATCATAGGAGACAGAAGAGAGAATGGTTTCTGTAAGGAGATTTTTAGGGGAGATTCAAGGCCATTTTATACTTTCAAAAAAAAAAGTAAATTGGGGATACAGTTTTATATTTTTATTCAGTCTATGTTTCTATGTAGTCAGCCTTCATATAAAAGACCAAACAACTGTTACTGGGCTGCTTTAGAACATGAAGATCACAAAACACTCAGGATCACCTTCTTGTGGTCAATTTCACCTTCCTGTCTGCTCTGTTTGGTTCATCACCCCTTCTTCCTGCCTTTCTGACACAGCCTTCTTCCTCTATAGCTGTCATAACTGTTCTTGTTAAACAAACTATGCTAAACTGTACATCTGCTTATTTAATGTAGGCAGCCCTATAGGCAGTGACCGCTGGAAAGGGTCCATGTTTTATCTGCCACTACGTCAGTGGCATCTAATATAGTTATCTGCACATAGTAGGCACATTTGCTAAATGAGTGAATGAATATATACAATGAATGAATGGAATGCTAGACTTTCGGAGCTGTGTAGGATCTTGGGGATCAGTTAGTCAAGTATGCTTTCGGCAATACTTGCCAAGCAAAGTAGGAGCAAACTGAAGCCCATTGACATGAAATGATTTGTCCAAGGTCCCTTAAAGCTGCTATTGTCCATTCTCTTAAGCCAAAGAGTCACTTGGAGAGCACCAGAAGGGGTGAGGTAATTCACATGTTCCCTGCTTGCTGCAAGTGCTGGGATAATAGGGTACAACTGGCCAAGAACAGTAAATAAGAATACAACCTGAAATGTCTACAGTTGCGGGCTTTCTGGAAACTGTAGTCATAGAATCATTGCTCTGTAACTCTTTAATTTGGAGAGCAACTGGGCAATTTTCTTAAGTAAGTAATATGTTTTTCTCTATATATCCCAACATCCCTTTTCTATGCTCTGAAGAAAAGACATGAATGCATTAAATTTGATCCCCCCCCCCTGCAGATAAGATTCCTCCCCCAAACTTGGAACTTTCTCAATATTCTGTCTCAGTAAGTTAACATCACTCTCCATCCAGTTGTGAAAACCTCAAGTTCAGGGTCATCCTCGACACCTGCTTCTCCCTCATCTTCACTGTCAATCAATTATTGAGGTATACTGATTTTACTCTTTTGTTAAATCTCTTTACTTCTTTCCATTTGATATCCATTCCTCTAGTTCAAAGTTCCACCATCTCTCCCCTGTATTACTATAATAGCCTCTTAACAGGTCTTCTCATACACTCTTGTCTTCTTCTAATCCATTCTCCAGAGTGATTATTTCTCAAATGAAAATCTGCTCTTACCTCCCTGCTTAAAAAGCTTCTTGATTTTTTTTAAAAAAAGAAAGAACGGAACCCTTAACATGTCTTTCAGTATATGTGTGCTCCCATTCCTGTCACTCACCTTGTTTTCTACTGTCTAGTTGTGGCTTCTTCTTTCCATTTTGAAACTGTGCCAAACCTTTTTACTTCAGGTTTCTACACATGCTACTTGGTTTGCCTGGATGGTCTACTCTGCCAAACTCACCCTGGGCTCAGTTTTTGTTCAGTTAACACCCAGGAGCCTTTCTTTGATCTTCCCAATTTATGTTAATTTTATGAGAATGAGGAAGGGGTCAGCATCAGTTCTATTTCAATGCTATTCCTAAGCCTTGAGAAAATTAATTCATATTAAATAGGTAGATGTGAATTCCTTCCATGGGTGGAATTCCTCAGAAGTGAATAACTGCATTGGTCCATTTTATCTTAGCAACGTTACTCAATTCTTTGAATGCCTTCCAAATTAGTCTTCTTCTAATTTTGTTTAAGGTCAAACATCGGGAAACCACGAGACTTATAAAAGGATGTTTTTAACAATGTCATTAGATATTCACTTTTCGACACCAATGCCAATATTTCAAATTGTCCCTTTTTCGCTGCCCAGAGGTTTTTACACCCTGGAGTGATGTACCAGCTATGTCCTGTTTTGGTGAGGTTAAAGAGCGATTGTGAAAGAAGAGGTGGAAAGGAGAACCAACCTGCCTTAGCCATAACGTCAGCACAACAGTTCGGGATGGCAGTGGGCCCGGGGTAAAATGAGGATCCGGAAACTGACTTCTTTAAAACTACCCATGCCTTCCTTCTCTCCTCCCCTCCTAACAGTATAGGTGGAAGTTAGGTGCTCGAACTCACGCTGGCATTTTATGAGTATAGAAAACTTTCTTTTCCTACTTACCATAGGTTCATCTGTGTTCTTTTGGAACTGAACCAGCCGAACTCTGGTCACATTCTCCATATCCATGTCTCCGTTGGCGCTCTCTGGAGAATCACCATTTAAATAGGGAGAGGTGGGCGGAGGCGTGACCCTCAATGCTTCATCACTGTAAACTTCATGTGCCACTACATCGTGAGTCTGAAGTAAGGCCTAGTATTTTATGAAGAAAGCAAAATATTACTAATAGTACTATTCCAGCAGAAATCTATTCTATAAACGTACATAAAATTATTCTTTGCCTCTCAAAGGTATAGCTCATCTACAGAGAACTCAAAGCACAGTACACCTAGATACAACTATACCCTGATTTTTTTTTTTGAATCCTCACCGAGGATATTTTTCCATTGATTTTCAGATAGAGTGGGAGAGAGGGAGGGAGAGAGAAAGAGAGAGAGAGAGAGAGAGAGAGAGAGAGAGAGAGAGAGAGAGAGAGAGAGAAACAACAATGTGAGAGAGACACATCAATTGGTTGCCTCCTGCATGATCCCAACCAGGGCTGGGGATCAAACCACATCTGAGGTACATGCCCTTGACTGGAATTGAACCCACAACATTTTGGTCCATGGGCTGACGCTCTAACCACTAAGCCAAACTGGCCAGGGCTATCCTTATTTCTTTATGACAAATAATCATGATAGATTGAATGAATGAATGAATAAATCAATGAATAAATCAATGCATGCATGTGTTTGTTGATTACCTGGGTTAGAGGTATTGTCTGATGTTACAAGAAAGTAGCAACTAACTTGTTCAAATAAAGGCTGACATAATGCAATTTAAAATAATTTAGCAGAAAGAATCATCTGTAAACAGAGGTGGCAAATTTGCGCTAGGGCTTAAAATAAAAACAAATTTAAAAAGAAATCTCTTTCATTGATGGTATTAACAATAACTCTGTTATATAATGCAAAGGATGAAGATAATTTACAACATATGATTTAGTAAAAGAAAAAAAACCCCACATAAGTATACCTGGAAAAAACCAAACCTGTAATTTCCCAAAATATCACATATGATACAGAGCTCAAATTCTAAACCTACCTAATATTTTTATTCATTTCTATTTTTTGGAGCACTTGAATAAATGAAAAATAAGTTGACAGTTATTATTATGACTTCCTTTTGCAAAGCCTGTTAACAAAGAAAAAGTGATGTCTTTGTATTGGTATCTGCATATGTCATCTTGGTGGAGTTGGATAACAAATATCCCTTATACCCCCCCCCCAAAAGGATATTCTTTTACACATGATGCTTTTGGTACCATCATAAAAAAGTTTTTAATAGCATGAATATTTGAACATTTCTACTTCAAAGAGAATTTTACAGTCGACTATCAGTATGTTTGGAGCTTTACAGAGATATTTTCTTGTGTGCTAACTATAAATTCAGTTCTGTTTTAAATTCTGATCTATGTGGTAATGAAATATCTGGAGATAATAAAATGCAATTAAAATTGCTTTGAAAGTATAACCCTTAGCATCTCAAATTGAGTTATTTAATTAAAAGGCTTATCCAAGTTATGACTTGGCTATTTGAATTTTAAAGGCATATATATGAGGCAAAACTAAAGTAACAATGCAGTACAATTATAAAGAAGATGGTATTGATTTGTCATCAATAGAGCATGTGCTTGGAGCAATATATGCATTTGGGTTTCTAATGGAAATGGCAGATATTTCCAAGATTTTAGAGGGCTTGTCTAAACTGGGGTCTAGGTGGGGGGGGGGAGGCACCAAAGGGCACTAAGTGGTGCACAGCTTGAGAGAAGGGCTCCACAGTGGCCCTGGGGATCTTGGCTTCCTGGACACTCACTGCCTCACTACATCCTGCACTGGGACCCAGAGTCCTAATGTGGGGTATGTGGCTAAATGCCTATTTTTCTGGTTTAATTATGGCCACTTAAGAGACTAAGACTTAGTGCAGAAAGCAAAAATCAATAATAGACAAACTGAAAACTTCATCTGCTAAAATTAGGTTAACTATATCAATTATAGATGTATCTTCCATAATTAGTGAATTTTAAATAACATGCTTTGTATGACTGGAGGATATATAGCCAGGTAAACAGAACCAAGCTTTCATCAGGTTATAATGCCAGTTACATGGGCTTGAGAAAGTGTTTATGCTGCTTTTTGCAAATGATTTCTACTTATCCTTTTAAAAATATAAGCAAACAATTGTATTTTAATGTATTACTTATAAGGAATCACAAAATAATATCCAAATTGAACTTTATTTTTTTACTATTTATTTTTTTCCAATTTTTATGAATTTATTTTTGTTGCAGAGGTTCAGACTGACAAACCTCAGAGTAGGGGGTGGGGGGGGGTGGCTAAGATGAACCAAAGAACTTATATGCATGTATGCATATCCAAATTGAAGTTTAAAAGAAAAATGCTCAAATTATGTCACCAAATGAGGGCATATTTGATTGTAGTAACCACAATTTGCCACTGTAAAAGACTGCTACTACAAAATAAAACTTAACCTGAAGCTCCAATGTATCTGCAAACAGAAAACAAGGGGCCACTTACAGATTGTTTTTTAAAAAGCCATTAAAGAGTATGCCAAATGAAAAAGAGAAAAATCAAAGTTGGAATATTTTTCTTCGAATATGTTATAAGGGATAATTGAGCAATTGTTACTAAGCTGAAATAGCTGTTGTTTTTAACTACGTAAGAAGAATCATGTAATAGGAAAGAAACACTTTCACTTTTTGTACCGTAATAAGGATATGGACAGAAAACTAACAACTTTTGATGAAAATGAAAAAAATATGATTACTTTAAAATGAACAGTAAAAAAGAAAAAATGAACACATGGGACTACATCAAATTAAAAAGCTTCTGCACAGCAAAAGAAACAAGCATCAAAATGGAAAGGGAACCCACTATCTGGGAGAGCATAACTGCCAATAATACATCAAATAAAGGGTTAATTTCCAGAATATATATAGTACTCATACAACTCAACAAAAGGAAGACAAAGAATCCAATTAAAAAATGGACAGAGGACCTAAAGAGACACCTCTCCCAATAGGACATACAAATGGCCAAGAGACATATGAAAAAATGCTCAATGTCACTAATTTCAGAGAGATGCAAATTAAAACAACAACGAGTTATCACCTCACACCTGTCAGAATGGCCGCCATCAACAAATCATCAAACAAGTGCTAGTGAGGGTGTGGAGAAAAGGGGACTCTAGTACACTGCTGGTGGGAATGCAGACTGGTGCAGCCACTGTGGAAAACACTATGGTGTTATCTCAAAAAGTTAAAAATTGAACTGCTATTTAATCCCAGTGATCCCACTTCTAGGAATATACCCTAAGAAACCTGAAACACCAATCAGAAAGAATATATGTACCCCTATGTTCATATCAGCACAATTTACAATTGCTAAGATCTGGAAACAGCTCTTAGTGTCCGTCAATAGATGAGTAGATAAAAAAGCTGTGGTACATATACACAATGAAATACTATGCAGCTGTAAGAAAGAAAAATCTCTTATCCTTTGAGATGACATGGAGGGACCTGGAGAGTATTATCCTAAGCGAAATAAGTCAATCAGAGAAAGACAAATGTCACATGATCTCACTTATTTGTGGAATATAATGAACAACACAAGCTGATGAACAAAATAGACCCAGAGACATAGAAGTAGCGTACAGACTGACAAACCTCAGAAGAGGGGGTTATGGGGGGAGGGAAGAAATAAACCACAGAACATATGTGCATGTATGCATAACCATGGACATAGACAGCAATGCTGGGGATGGGGCGGGATCAGGAGAAGGGTGTCAATGGGGGGAAAAGGAGAAACATCTGTAACAAATAAATTAATAAAAAATTAAAAATAAAAAAAGAACATTCCAAATGAAAAAATAAATGAACAGGAAAATATGAATATCAGGTTCAAAAAGTGGTTCTTCTGGTTCACAATTACAAGTCATTAAATTTACCACTTAATGAAACTTTCACAACCTAAGGTGATTTTAACCATTTTGTTTTTTTCAAAGTATGATGCAAATTTGCTTTTAAAATCTGTTTTAGATCTGATTTCTTATAAAAAATTAAAGCATTACTTTATCCTTACCGTTTCATATTTCACAATTGCAATGAGCAAAGGATCTGTTCTTATTTTTAAAATTTTTATTTATTGATTTTGAGAGAGAGAGAGAGAGAAACATTGATTTGTTGTTCCACTTGTTTATACATTCATTGGTTGCTTCTTTTATGTGCCCTGACCAGGGATCAAACCTGAAACCTTGGAGTATTGGGACGAAGCTCGAACCAACTGAGCTACCCAGCCAGGACCAGGATCAGTTCTTTTAAAAATATCAGTCTTGCCCTGGCCGGTTTGGTTCAGCAGTTAGAGTGTCGGCCTGCGGTCCTGAGAGACCCGGGTTCGGTTCCCGCTAAGGGCACGTACCTCGGTTGCAGTTTGTCCCCGGCCCTGGTCGGTCGTGTGGGTGGCAGCCACTCGATGTGTCCCTTTCACGTCGATGTTTCTCTCTCTCTCTCTCCCCCTCCCACTCTATCTGTACAAAAATTGCAAAAATGTCCTCGGGTGAGGAAAAAAAAAAAAATCAGTCTTTCAAATGAAATAACTAAAAAAGGTATTAGTGCGACAATATTTTTTTTCATGACTTTTAGAGTACAGACTATAAAAAAAATCATTTAAATCTATATTTATTTACTCTTTCTTAAATCTTGTAAATATTTATAAGTATCTGCATTTTTTTCTTTGTTAATCCTCACCTGAGGATACTTTTCCATTGATTTTCTTTTTAGATAGAGTGAGAGGGAGGGAGGGAGGGAGGGGGGGAGGGAGAGAGAGAGAGAGAGAGAGAGAGAGAGAGAGAGAGAGAGAGAGAGAGAGAGAGAGAAACATACATTGATGTGAAAGAAACACGTCGATTGGCTGCCTCCCGCATGACCATGACCGGGGCTGGGGATTGAACCTGCAACCCAGGTACATGCCCTTGACCTGGAATCAAAACCACGACCCTTTTGTCCAAGGGCCAAGCAAACTTTCCACTGACTGCAATAGTGTCCAACTTTCTCCCTGTGTGATTGCTATAATGTTACATTGAAGAAAATTCAGCCTTCACCACACTGATACCACCATGGTTTTCCCAACACTTTG